TTATCATGCAAAAAAAAAAAATGTCTTGGTGCTGGTCCTAGGGCTTGAACTTGGGGCCTGGGTGCTGTCTCTCAGCTTTTTGACTCCAAGCTAGTGCTCTCCACTTTGAGCCACAGCTCCACTTCTGGCTTTTTGATAACTAATTGGAGATAAAAGTCTTGTGGATTTTCCTTCCCTGGCTGGCTTTGAGCTTTGATTCTCAGATCTCAGCCACCTGAGTGGCTAGGATTACAGTGTGAGCCACCAGTGCCTGGCCAGACAGTATTCTTTATTGTTATTTATTTATTTATTTTTTTGTGGTCATGGGGCTTGAACTCAGGCCCTGAGTGCTATTCCTGATCTCTTTCGCTCAAAGTTAATGGTCTACCACTTTGAGCCATAGCTCCACTTCTGGTTTTCTGGTGGAGATAAAGAGGATTTTCCTAGACATGCTGGCTTTGAACTATGATCCTCAGATCTCAGCCTCCTGAGTAGGTAGGATTACATGTGTGAGCCACCAGTGCCCAGCATCGCTAATATCCTTTACCTGTTACTCAATATCACAGGAGGAAGGTTTTCCCTTCTTTGGTAGGAGTGGTGGTTTTGCTTTTGTTTGTTGAGACAGGATCTCACTCTACCCCAAACTGGCTTTGAACTCCTAATCTTCCTATCTGCCTCCCAGGTGCTGGGATTACAGGCATGTACCATCACGACTGGCTTAAAAATACAAGGAAATTAAATGGATTGTCTTTGTTCTACACTCTTTATACGTGTTTCCTTTTATTTTACTGTGAACTTGAGGAGCCTGAAATAACAACAACAAAAAAGGTATGCTTGGGGCTGGGAAGGTGGCTCAGTGGTAGAGTGCTTGCCTTGCATGCATGAGGCCCTGGGTTCGATTCCGCAGCACCACATAAGCAGAAAAAAAAAAAAAAGCCAGAAGTGGCGCTGTGGCTCAAGTGGTAGAGTGCTAGCCTTGAGCTGAAGAGCTGGGGGACAGCGTCTAGGCCCAGAGTTCAAGCCCCATGACCAGACCCCCCCCCCAAAAAAAAAAAAAAGGTATGCTTAAACCCTAAATTTTCCAACAGCTTAAAAGTAGCTGTGAGCCAGGCACCAGTGGTGCATACCTGTAATCCTAGCTACTCAGCAGGCTGAGATCTGAGGATCACAGTTCAAAGCCAGCCTGGGCAGGAAAGTCCTTGAGACTCTCATCTCCAATTAACCACCAGAAAGCTGGAAGTGGCGCTGTTGATCAAGTGGTAGTGCACTCACCTTGAGCTGAAGAGCTCAGGGACAGCACTCAGGCCCAGAATTCAAGCCCCATGACCGACCAAAAAAAAAAAACCAAAAAACAAAATACCTGCTGTGAAATGCTGGGTACCAGTTGGTAGATCAAACTTACAGTCCTAGCTTCTCAGGAGGCTGAGATCTAGAGGATCCACATTCCATGCTAGTCCAGGCAGAAAAATTGATATGACACACACTTCAATTAACCAGCAAAATACTGGACTGGAGGCATGGCTCAAATATCAGTTGGACAAATAAGCTAGCTGAGCAAACTTGAGGCCCTGATTTCAAGCCCTGGGATCAGCACATAAGCATAATGGCTGTGGAACTGAAAAGGAGAATGGCCTGCTAGTGTCTTGTAGCCATTCCATTACTGATGGGATATTACATTGTTCATAAGGTTTCATTGTAAAAGCATTGGATCACTTTTCTTGGGGGGGGGGCGGTTGTGCCTGAATAAAGTACAAGCTGGGTGGCATAAACTGAATTTTTATGTTGCACAGGTCTAGGGTGTATTTGTTCAAGGTGTCAGTAGGGTTGGTTCCTCACCAGGGCTATGTGGGTGAGGGATCTGCCAGCTTTTCCCCCACAGCTTTCATAGTTGCCTTCCCTCTGCTGCTAGTACCTGTTTTAGTTCCTTTTCAGGATGCCAGTTATTCTGGATTTTAATTCTTGTATTAAAAGATTTTTTGGGGGGGGGGTCCGGTCGTGGGGCCTGAACTCTGGGCCTGGGTGCTGTCCCTCAGCTCTTCAGCTCAAGGCTAGCGCTCTACCACTTGAGCCACAGCGCCACTTCTGGCTTTTTTTTTCCTGCTTATGTGGTGCTGAGGAATCGAACCCAGGGCCTCATGCATGCAAGGCAAGCGCTTTACCACTGAGCCACCTTCCCAGCCCCTGGTAAAGATTTTTGTTTCCAAAAAAAGACATGCTAAGGTCTTGGGGTTGCTACAGCATGGATTTTGAATGTCCCTAAGGATCCAAGGGTTGAAGGCTTAGTCCCCACCTGCTTTAGAAGCTTTTGGAAGTGCAAAGAAGGTAGGTCTCTGGATTTGGGCCCTTAAGGTGATATTGGTGCTCCATCTCTCCTTCTCCTCCCTCCTCCCACTCCTCTCCTCCCTCTTTCTTTTCTCTCTCCTCCTGTTTCTTTCCTCTCCCCCCTCCCTCTTTCTCTCTCTCCCCCTTTTCTCTTCTCTTCCACCCCTCTCCTCTCCCCAGCTACCACAAGGTGAGTGCTTCTGAGATGTTTACCTTTCATTGTTGTTGTCCCAAAGCAACCATGGGTTGAAGAAGCATCTGGAACCATGAGGCAAAACAACCCTTTTTTAAGTTGGTGTGTCCCAGGTACTGTGTCAGCAACAGAGGGTTGGTACCAAGAAGTAATAGGATGGTTGTGCTAAGTGGCCCTGTGGTTAGTTTAGTGCCCTTTGGAATTGGCTCATGAGTGTACTCTGAGTAAAGTTTGAGCTTAGAAGAGTTTGATTGATGATTCTGGTGAGGGTTCAGAAAAGCAGAAGGCTGTTGGAATGTGTAAGAAAGGTATCCCATAGAGAGAAGCCTTCTGCTGGGTATTAGACTTCGCCAATTCTTTATACCTTTGCTGAGAATTTGCAGGCATTTTGTCCCTTCCCTGAGACTTTGTGTCAGAGGCTCAGTGTACAAGCTGACAGAGTCAAGGGGGCATGGCTATCACTGATGGCTTAGAGCCTAGTTGACTGTGAGAAATGGAAACAAAAGGAAATGAGAAGCAAAGCAGAAAAAGCTATTGGGCCAGAAAAGGAGCACAAAGGTGTGGTTGCTAAAGAGATTATTGCCGTTGAACTGAAGTCCTGGGTTTGAGGATATGGTAGAGGTGCTTGCCTAGCAGGTTAGAAAAGTGTACAATGAAAGGTATAAAAAGCAAGGCAGGTGCCAGTGGCTCATACCTGTAATCCTAACTCCTCAGGAGGCTGAGGTCTGAGGACCTGGGTTTGTAGCCAGCCCAGGCAGGAAAGTCCCCGTGAAACTCTTTCCAATGCACCACCAGAAAACCAGAAGCGGTGCTGTGGCTCTAAGTGATAGACTACTGTCCTTGAGCAACAGCAGAGACAGTGCCCAGGCCCAGAGTTCAAGCCTAGGACTGCCCATCCCCACAAGAAAAAGGTAGAAAGTGGAAAGTAGTTTCAAACATGGTGAGGAACATTGCTGTCATCTGCGAACTAGGGAATTGCCACCTAGGGGATTGCTTTTTATACATGCAGTCGCAGAGGCTTCTGCCCAGATTTCATAGGAAGCCTGAGCAGTGAGTGACAGGGTCAGAGTCTCCCTGCGAGGATAGTGTGTCTTTTGGAGGGTGAAGTTGTGTTGAGGATGCTGGGGATATAGAATGCTTGCAGAGCCTGCTCAAGAAAGTAGTCAGCAGACTTCAGGGCTTTAGGGGCTGGCCATGCCCTTAGGAGTCTCCATTCTGCTTTGGTGTATCCCAGAGGCCAGCTATGGAGTTATGGCCTTTAATGTTTTTCCCTAATGAGTTTTCGTCTTGCTTCAGTTTGAGCTCTACTTGATGCGGTCTCCCTCCTTCCTGCCTTCTGAAATCGGAGTGTTTATCTAATGACACTCTTTTTTTTTTTTTTTTTTTGGGTCCGGTCATGGGGCCTGAACTCTGGGCCTGGGCGCTGTCCCTCAGCTTTTCAGCTCAAGGCTAGCACTCTACCACTTGAGCCACAGCGCCACTTCCGGGTTTTTTCTTTTTTGCTTATGTGGTGCTGAGGAATCGAACCCAGGGCCTTAGGCATGCAAGGCAAGCGCTCTACCACTGAGCCACCTTCCCAGCCCTCTAATGACACTCTTAAGTTAGAAAGTATGTAACTTGCTTTTTGATTCCTTCAGGGGTTCACAGCCTAAGGGTTTGCCCCGAGTCATTGGATTTCTGCACATTTTAACAGTTAGGGAACCTTGGAGAAAGGTACTCAATGCATTCATTCCCTTTTGTTTTTTGGTGGGTCCTGGGGCTTGAACTCAGGGGCCTGAGCATTGTCCATGAGCTTCTTTGTACTCAAGGCTAGTGCTGTACCACTTGAGTCCCAGAGCCACTTCTAGCTTTTCCTGAATAGCTTGAGTCTCAGTGACTGTCCTGCCTGGGCTGGCTTTGAACCTCGATGCTCAGATCTCAGCCTCCTGAGTAGCTGGGATTATAGGCCAAAGTCACGGGTGCCCAACCTGAAGGCATTTCTTAATGTGAGGTATATGTGTTGGGAGCTAATTTGGATCTTGAACGTCTATTGCAAAAGTCCAGACGTTGAAGGCTTGGCTTCTAATCTGTGGCACCTTTAGGAGGAAGTTAGGTCATTTGTGGTGGTATTTTTTTTTTCCTGTCTGTCTATAAAAACCTCCCCAGCCACCAGGAGGTGAGCAGCTTTGCTCTGTCATCTGCTTCCGCCCTGGTGTGCTGTTGATGCCTCCAGCTCCAAACCTTTGAAACTGTAAGCCTCAAAACATCTTTCCTGCTTTTCTCCCAGAGCTTGAACTCTGGGCCTGGGTGCTGCCCCTCAGCTCTTCAGCTCAAGGCGAGCGCCCTACCACTTGAGCCACAGCGCCACTTCTGGCCTTTTCTGCTTATGTGGTGCTGAGGAATCGAACCCAGGGCCTCATGCATGCGAGGCAAGCGCTCTACCACTGAGCCACCTTCCCAGCCAAGTGAGGAATATATGCCTTGTGGAAGGACACAGTTATCACCCACAACAAACAAGAGGGCAGAATTGGATGGTCATTGATTTCTTTATTCATTTAGGAGGTAGGGGGTGGTCCTAGGGAAAAAAGAAAGACCTCCCAGGGAAAGGGTCTGTTGGGACTGAGCTGGAAAGCAGTGGGGGTTTCAGTAAGTACCTGGGTGGGAGATCTGGCATGAAACCTTACCTTTGGGAATGAGTACAGTGGAATAGTGAATACATTCATACACGTTTCTATCATCTGATTTTCTTATATTTATATATATACACACACATACAGTATAATCTTTTTATAAATGTACAGCTTGAGCAAAGAAAGATCCTTCTTGTAATAGAAGTACAGCATGACACACAGACACGCAGAAACCAACATGGGCCAGCCAAATTCCAATCGAAGACCCAGAGATAAAGCAAGGCTCCCAGCCCCGCCCCCTGGCACAGGTAAGCCAGCCTACCCTTGACCTTGAGGTGGTGAGTGTCCATTCTCACCCAGCCCTCCCTGAGGGAAGATGCAGATAGGAATGTTATTGGGTGGGTGGGTGGGGGGTGGGTGGGAGGGGAGGGAAATGAAAAGGAGGAAAGAAATGTGCTCTTCAACTCCAGGCACTGGTCAGAGAGCCTTCCCTCTCTTCCCATTCACCGGGTTTAAATACAATAAATAAATCTTAGGAAACCTTGTGCTGCTTTGCCCTGCTGGTTCCTACAACCAGGCTGCTTTTAATCTTTTTGGGTCACTTACAAGTGACAGCTCCCTATTCCGGAAGCCACAGTTCTCCATGTCTTCTTAGGGGAAGGTGGTAGAATGGTTCCAGGCCTTGGAGAAGTAAGTAATTGCTCACTGTGGATCAGAAGAGTTGGGGTGGGGAGAGTCCCCCCCACCAAATGCTCTCAAGTCTGCGTCTAGAGCACCTCTGTCTCTTGCTGGAGTCTCTGGGTGCCTCAGATCTTGGTCACGTAGTTGTTGGGGAACAGGCCTTGTTTGCCACGCAGTCGGCCGGTCCACCAGCCAGAAGGATCTGCGGGGGAGAAGGTGCACACAGGTGAGCCACGCACGCTCTGCTCTACGCCCCAGACACCTTTCTTATTCCCTTCTAGGTTTGGTTATTAGAAAAGTTCTTTGAAGCCGGGTGCTGGTGGCTCACGCCTGTAATCCTAAGCTACTCAGGAGGCTGAGATCTGAGGATCACGGTTCAAAGCCAGCCCAGGCAGGAAAGTCAGTGAGACTCTTCAATGAACCAGAAAACCGGAAGTGGCGCTGTGGTTCAAGTGATAGAGCGCTAGCCTTGAGCTGAAGAGCTGAGGGACAGCGCCCAGGCCCGGAGTTCAAGCCCCACAACCGACAAATAGAAAAGAACTTTGCAAGGAGAGCCTATCACCATGGCAGACACAAAAACACCAGTACTCAGATCTGCCTTTGGGGTGCTGCCTGGGATCCCTCTAATGCAGGTGTAGTCTGCCAGGGACAGCTAGTAAGATAGGGCTTTTCTATGTGACCCAGGCTAGCCCTGAACTGACAATCTCCTGCCTCATTCTGAATGTTGAGACTGCAGGCATGCACTACCATCCTTGGTTACTTTTTGAGGCTTTGTGTATAAGCTAAAGATACAATTGTGTGGCTGGGCAGCAGTAGCTCCACTACCCTGGAGGCTGAGATCGCAGGATCATGGTTCCAAGTCAGCCCAGGCTCAAGAGTTCAAGCCCCAAGCTTGGCACACACAAAATTGTCCTTTGCCATTTGAATGAAAATGCAACGGTCTCTGTGTGCACCCATGCCACAGTTTTAAGGTTTAGCACTTAGCTTTTGATAAAAACCATATTGATGGTCATAAAACTTATTTCTAAGCAAATTGAAAAAAAAAGGAATACTTTGGGGAGGGCTAGGCAAGGAGGATTGTGGTCGCAGGATGGCTGCAGTCTTCCTGATCTCTGCCTCTTAGGTAGCTAGGATCAGGAGTCACTGCTTTTTCTCAAAATAGCTAATAAAGCACTTAGCCAACCAAGCCCACGAACCACATCATAGATTTCCTTCCTGGCACCGCCTCCTTCCATTATGAGGAAGCTATAAGAATGGGGGGGGGGGGTGTAAACCTCACGTTCACTTTCTTAGGGCAATCCCTGACAGGTCTAACTCTTGCTGCAGAGATGAGTTCAGAGATGGGTGGCTTTAGCCAATCAGAATGACACAAGACTTGTATCCAGGGTCTGGGAAGGTGGCTCAGTGGTAGAGTGCTTGCCTCACATGCATGAGGCCCTGGGTTCGATTCCTCAGCACCGCATAAGCTGAAAAGGCTGGAAGTGGCGCTGTGGCTCAAGTGGTAGAGCGCTAGCCTTGAGCTGAAGAGCTGAGGGACAGCACCCAGGCCTAGAGTTCAAGCCCCACAACTGACAAGACGTGTTCAAGCTGGGTGTCCAAATGGTTCACATCTATAATCCTAGCCAGGCTGAGACTTGTGGATTGCAGTTCAAAACCAGCCTGGGCAGAAAAAGTCCTACACCATAGCCAACTATCCAGATTCCCTACCATGGATGAATGGATTAAGGAAATGTATATAAATCACATAAGTCTGTGATTTGCATGGAAATGGATGGGCCTAGAAAAATTAAGTGACATAAATCAGGCTCAGTGAGACAAATGGTACGTCTTTTCTCTCATTTGTGGAAGTGAGTTCAAAGTTCTAAATGAGAAAAGATAGGGGATCATCCTATGCATTATACACCAACAAGTTGGCTAAAGCATGCTACACGTAGGGAGGATTCCAGTGATTTAACTCCTCTGAGCAACTAACAGAAAGCCAAAAACCACACGTTTGTGGGGGAGAAGAGGGAACGGTGGGTGAATACAGCCATGATATTCAAGTTCCACACGTGAAAACAGCCATGTCACTTGAGGGAAAGGATGGGCTAAGAAAAATGGGAGGGGAAAGTCGTGATATTTTGGTCAAGATGTACTCCTAACCTCACATGCCTGAGAAACCTCGTCCACCTTCATGTTGAGTACATCTTTACAATTTTTATGATGATCTGTTGACTTGAAACTTGTATCTGTTGTCTAAGGAAATGCCAGATAAAGAGTTCAGCAATAGTTGCTATGATGGCCTGGACCTCTGCAGCCATTTTGCCACCATGAAGACAAAAGGCTGGAGAGGCTGCCCTGGCCTTGCGCTTACCTTCTTTGATAATGTCAATGACGTCGTTGGCATTGAAGCTGAGCTCATCCGTATCCTGAGCGTCGTAGGCATACAAAGCCTTGCACTGGGGCACCTGAGGTTTGGGCTTGGGCTGGGGCTTGGGTCTGCCCCCTGCTGGGGTAGGCCGACTGGTCGTCTGTCTCCGAACACTGCAGAGAGAAAACAAAGCAGATGAGAGATGGGCCTTAATCCTGTGGCGGGTTACAGCCGTGTCCTCATGAAGTTCAAATCTACTTTTGCCCTTAGAAGCCCAGGATGCTCTCAAACTTTTTTGTGTCAATCATGGGACTTCAACTCAGCTGAGCATTTTTGCTCAAGGCCAGTGCTTTACCACTTTGAGCCACAGTGCCACGTCTAGTTTCCTGGTGGTTAATTGTCGATAAGAGTCAGTGCTGGTGGCTCACACCTGTAATCCTAGCTACTCAGGAGGCTGAGATCTGAGGATCGCAGTTCAAGGCCACAGGCAGGAAAGTCTGTGAGACTCTGATCCCCAGTTAGCCACCAGAAAACTGGAAGTGGTGCTCAAGTGGTAGAGCGCTTGCCTTGAGCTGAAGAGCTGAGGGACAGCGCCCAGGCCCAGAGTTCAGGCCCCACAACGGACAAAAATAAAGATGGCTTCAAAAAGGGGTTGGGCTGGCAGTTGATGTGGAGCGCCGGTCACAAGTAGAAAGGAATCTTCCTCAGTTCTTTGTTCTGGGATGAACAAGAAACCACAGCTCAGTACGTCTAGAATCCTGTAATGCCAAGTGCTCCTTGGGGGCTGATGGATGAATTGAGGTCAAGTGGAAAGTTAGAAGCACTAGCTCCAGCAAAGAGTGGGGGACTCTGCAGCCCAGGCTCTGCCCCCCACTCTCAGTCCCCCCGGAAGGGAGCAAACCCCAAGTCTTCTCCAGCTCCCATACCTCTGGGGGTAGTATACCCTGTGGATTATGACATCACTTCTGTCCTTCTCAGGCAGAAGAGTGCCCGCTGGTATGATTAATCCCCTATATATCAGGAGCACGTCAATGTTTGGTGAAGGAGAATTAGCTGGGGCTACCAGAAGTCATGTGACTTCCCAGCTAGAAGGACTGGGTGGGTGGGTCTGAGAGCAGAGAGGCTCTGGTACTGAAGGTGTCCTGCTGGGAGGGGGAGAGGGCGACACTCAGTGGGCAGACGAGGAAATGCACCTCTGCGATGGAAACCCTGAGTCATGGCCACATTCCCCGCACTGTCTTCCATCTTCCCCCGCCTCCTTCCTGCTGCACCTGTTCAAGACCCTGGGCCATCGCTGTAGCTCAGCCTCAGACAGTTCACCTTCCACCTGACCATCCTCTTACCAGCATTTCCAAGATCAAAACCATATGTCTCACCAAGTCCCTGTCCAGTATGGCTCCAGCTCCCAGAGACCACATGGTCAACTCCCCCTGCCGCTTCTCCAGCTCCCTCAGACAGAGCTGGAGATGGAACCCCTTTTGTTCCAGTGCTATGGTAGAAAGTGGCTGGGGCTAGACATGAAGCAAACAAAAGGCCTCCAGAGTGAAGAAGGGAGAAAACGAATACAGGCAGGAAATGCTTCTGCAAAGACACCACTGGTTAAAAAAAAAAAAAAGCCCAACAAAAGCTATTAACAAGCCAGTTCTATAAGACAATATACAGATAATAGAACAGCTATATTTCTAAACATGAGAAGTTCAAGAGAAAAGATCAGAAAATTCAAAAAATTAAGAAAACAACCCCATATGATAAATTCTGGAGCATACACAGTGGCTCGCGGCTGTAATCCTTACTAGGAAAAGTCCATGAGATTCATCATCACCCCAAAGCTGGAATTGGACCCATAAAGGGCCAATCTGGTCACTTCTATCTCTTGGTTCAATGAAGAGGGGAAGAGATGGTTTAAGCACTGTGAAGCTGGGCATGAAGAGAAACCCCAGGAGCTTTAGACAGAGTGGGGTGGGCCGAGGGGGACAGCCACAGACTGGTTTGATGCAGGTGGCAAGAGCTCCACCGATTGTACCAGAATTGGGTTCCCATTGACTGCGGAGAGGGGCTGCGGGCTCGAAATCTGTTCTCTCCTGGGTACCCTGCCTCTCTGAGCCAGGCCACGCCTGACACTCTTCTTGTGTCTTCTGGGAGTCCCTGTATAGGGCTGGATGACATGACAGCCACTCCTCAGCTGGGCTGGCTGTGTACCAGTATTTTTTTTTGGGGGGGGGGGAGAAGAGTGGGGGCGACTACTGCACTAAACTGTTGCAACTTCTGGGGAAGTGTGTGAGGAGGGTTCCTGGCATTTCCTATGAGAGGATCACTGGCCAACATGCTAAGTTATGCAATCTCCATCACTGCCACTAGAGGGAGATCCTGTGTAATGAGTGAGCGAAGAACACCGTCAAGTGACCTGTCAAGAATGAATGAATGAGGTCTTTGAGCCCCCAGAAGCACACAGCCCAGGTGGCCCACCTGGCCTGATAAAGGGGGGATTATAGGCTTTGCACAAACGCTTGAGACCCTCGTGCCAATGGATGAGAACTGGCTCAGCCCAGCTGGCAAGATGATACTTCAAACTTGCAGCAACTTGTGTCCTAAGATCGGTGGAGGGGGTGAAACTATTCAAAGTGAGTTCTAAGCATAGATGTGAACGTCACCACGAAACCACCTCAGATTACAGACACTATTCAAGTATAAAATGTAAAAAGTCATGCAAAGTTGCAATTGAATGAGCACTATTGCACATCAAGGTAATAATAAATATTCATATTGTGCCTTTAGCTAATTTAAAATTTGTTTTTTTGGCAGCCTTCTGCTCACCCAGTTTACTTGCTCATGGCTGGTGCTTAACCATTTGAGCCACACCCCCACACCCTCACTTGTGGGTGCTATGGTGTGTATCTGCCATCCGGGACTACCTTCTAAGACACCCCCCCCCCCCAAACAACAATTGGCAGTGCACTGCCATAAGTCCTGAATTATGGGCTACCAGAAAGCCTAGAGATTTCTTTCGACGATTGTGAGGTTTTTCAATGGACATTTGAGACCTCTTGGACAGCTATGGAATCTCACAAGATGCCAAAAGCCAGGAAGAAAAATGGACCCCAGGCAGGTCCCTTTGAAAAGAATTCAAATTGCCTGTGACTCATTAGAAATCTGAGTACTTCTTTTTTTTTTTGGGGGGGGGGGGAGGAGGGGTTCCTAATACCAGGGCTTGAACTCCAGGCTATTGGCTCTTATTTAGCTTGCTTACTCATAGCTGGCATTCTACCACTCAAGCCACCATCTCCAGTCTGACATTTTGTTGGTTAATTGGTAGTGGAGTCTCAGAGACTTTTCTGCCCAGTATCAAACCTTGATCCTTCAAATCTCAGCTGGGATTACAGGCATGAGCCACCAGAACCTGGGTATTATCATTATTTCTGTGATACACATGAATCCATGGAGGGTGGGCGGGAACATTAAAGGGTAAGCTAGAGGCATCCCACAGTAAATACGGGATGAGTAAAACAGAAGGAGACCAACAAACCAGACCCACACCTAGCCCTGGCCAACTTCTGGGCGGTTCCCATGGCTCCTGGGTGGCTATGTGGACTCCAGGCCGGGGAGATCAGAGAGGATGGAGTTTTCAAATATCATTGCTTTGTCCCGCAGTGGGGAAATTTATGTCTTGAAACTCCAAGAAGGAAAATAATGGCATTTTCTTTCCCTGACTTGGAAAAATACACTGGGTTCCAAAAGGCTCCATCTCTAAATGTTACTGGAAATGAGGAGAAATGCATGCCAGCAATTCCAAGACTTTGACTCAGCCCAGACCAGGTTATAGCTACGCGTTCGTGTAGAAATATTGCTATTGGACACTGGCTGGAAATCTTAAGCCTTCTGAAAATATGACTCCATGAGAAGAATCTTGACACGAGCCATTGGCAGCGTTTAAATTTTGTATCCATTTATGCTTCTGGGCGTGGGGGAGAAATCCTGCCACTGCACGTGGCTCTATCTTTCTCTGGATTTGTTTTGATTGATTGATTTAATGCCAGTTCTGGGGCTTGAATTCAAGGCCTGTGCGCTGTCCCTGAGCTTTTCATTCACTCAACGCTAGCCCTCTCCCACTTGAGCCACAAGCTCCACTTCTGGCTTTTTTGGGTGGTTCTTTAGACAGAAGAGTCTCACAGATTTTCCTGCCCAGGCTGGCTTTGAACTGTGATCCTCCAATCTCAGCCTCCAGAGTTGCTAGGATTATAGAATTATATAGAATTGCCTGAAGCTATCCTACCATGAATGGGTAGAAAGACAGTGTACAGCTCAGGTATAATATGGAAAACAAGAAACCTCCAAGAGAATGACCTGTAAAAGCAGGACAGATCTTTAATCTGGATCAGACTGTGTGTGTGTGTGTGTGTGTGTGTGTGTGTGTGTGTGTGTGTGTGTGTGTGTGTGTGTGTGTGTGTGTGTGTGTGTGTGTGTGTGTGTGTGTGTGTGTGTGTGTGTGTGTGTGTGTGATGTGTGATGTGTGATGTGTGATTGGAATTTTGAACTCAGGCCCTGATGCCTCTGTTAGTTTGACTGCTCAGTTGGCACTCTACCACCTGAGCCACACCTCGGAGCCTCGCTTTCTGCTGGTTAATTGGAGGTAAGAGCTTCAAGGACTTTTCTGCCTGGGTTGGCTTTGAACCTTGATACTCCTATGGCAGCCTCCTGAGGAGCTAGGGATTCAAGATGAGCACTGACTTTTATTCTCTGGATCAGCTTCAAACTCCTATGCTCCTATCTCTGTATCTCCCAAGTAGCTGGGATTACAGGCATGAACCACTGTTCCAGGCCTTGAATTTGACTGACCAAAAGCTTTAGTAAAGGATTGAAAGCTAATACTTCCACCTCCAGTCTCTTAGTGCAGTTTGGAGAGTGGAACTGAAATCATGGCTTATAGAGACCGTGGGCACAAATACCTTAATCCAAGGGTGAAAGGCTGTTGATGGGCGGCGATTAATTTAGCAATGACTTCATGCTCTCTCCAAAAACTACATCAGCTGAAGCTCAAATCAACTGATGACTTTCCTGAATTAACTTGAGGCGCTAATTATACCATTTGATTCTTATCCATGTTACATGATCCAAAAAGAAAAACGAGTGCTTCTGCTAAATACATCTATAAAGAAAACTCCTTTGAGAGAAAGGAGAAAGAAAGATTAAGTCTCAGGGTTTAAAAAGCCCAGGAAGCAAAGACTGGGAATGCTTTTTATAGATGTGTACATTCCGCAGGTGACAATTTGAAACTTTGATCTAAATAGGGACCTTCCTATTTATGGAAAATAGACAAGCTCAGGATACCCAAAATGCTGGTAGATTCCAAAAACACCCTATGAAGGAAATATAAATCGATTTCCTTGGCAAAAAGGAGAAGCTATTAAATTCAGATCCTGAAATGCTAGAGCCAAGGTCCCTGGCCACATTTGAAACCTTTTTTTTTTTTTTTCTTTCACCTTTATGTGTTTTAGAAAGTCAATAATTAGCTGGGCACTAGTGGCTCACGCCTGTAATCCTAACTACTCAGGAGACTGAGATCTGAGGATCCTGGTTCAAAGCCAGTCCAGGCAGGAAAGTCAGTAAGACTCTTATTTCCAAGGAACCACCAGAAAACCAGAAATGGAGCTGTGGCTCAACGTAGTAAAGCCTTGAGTAATCAGGGACAGCACCCAGGCCCTGAGTTCAAGACCCAAGAAAATAATTAGGAAAAAAAAAATCATCCCTTTGGTCCAACTTTCTCCTTTTTTTTTCTTGGCAGTTACTGGGCTTTGAACTTGACGTGCTAGGCAGACACTCTGCCACGTCAACCATGCTCTCAGTCCTTTTTGTGTTACTTATTTTAGGCTCTTCCTTTTTCATTTCTCCCTTTGAGCCAGCCTTGGCCTACAATCCTCCTCCTCCTGTGCCTCCCGGGTGTCTGTGATCACAGACGTGCACCTTCCCGCCTGGCTCGTTTGTAGAAATGGGAGGTGTCAGGAACATGGTGCCCACGCTGGCCTCAAACTGCAGTTCTCCCAAGTAGCCAGGATGGCAGGCAGGCGTAACTGTGCCTACCTCAGAGCCTTCTTAAGGAACAGCTGCCCCAGCAAATGTGTGCAGAAGAAGGGAGAGTTCTCACAGTTATTCAAGTACAGACATTCAACAACAACAACAGAGAACAGGCAGGAAAACTAATGACTGGGGGAGGATTGTACTGGTACCACCGCACAACCCCATCTCCATGGCTAGAGGTGACAGCCAGGGAATGGTGTGTGTGTGTGTGTGTGTGTGTGTGTGTGTGTGTGTGTGTGTGTGTGTGTGTGTGTGTGGAGGCTGGAAGAGAACAGTCGTGGATAAGACAGGGTGTTTCTCCACTTGCCTACTTTGGGCTGCCGGCTGCTCCCATCTGGCCCGTGTGCAAGTCTACAAAGCAGGCTGAGAAGCTGGGTTGGCTAGCCAAAACCGAAGCACTCAGGAAGCCAGCAGACAGGGCAGACATCTCCTGCCTTGGCCAGGAACCTCCAATGGGGCCTAGGAGCCAAGCGTATGACACCCCGAGTGACCTCTGCCCAGCTGAGCAGTGCCAACGCTCAGGGCCTTGTCCACGGCCTGGCAGGTGCCTCTTCATTTGCTGGGCTTCTTCCAAAGGTGCTCAGCATTGGCTGAGATCAGGAAGAGAAAGGGGAATTCTTGGGTATGCCCTGGAGTTAGAGGACTAGGGACTGAGTGGGAGGCATGGTTCAGTGGGTGGAGCACCAGGGAACAAACAAGCTGAGCAAGGGTCCAGACCATGATTTTCAATCCCTATACCCCTGGGGGGGGGAGGAAAAGAGAGCGGATAATTGCTTGAGCTGGAGTCACCATTATTATTATTTCAGGAGAGGGGGGAGAGGAAAGATTGGTTCAAGTGACAGAGTGGCTGCCGCCTAGCCGGCGTGAGGCTTGAGTTCAAAACCCTGAGGATGCAATAGAGAAAAAGGACCAGAGACAAAGACAGGGGACCCAACAAGGGTGGCACACACTCTGCTGATGGTCACTTGTGAGGGGGAAAGGAACAGCGGGAAAGTGCATGGCATGGCTCTGCCAGGCTCTGTGGCCTTAAGGACAGAGGAAAACCTGTGGGGCCCCCCCCCCCCCCCCAGGCCAAGCTCAAAGCTGAAAGCTGTGGTTTCACAGCGGGCCTGGTTTGCATACAAGTTTCCTGCACCTCTACGCTTTGGGACACAGAGAGAATGAAAGATGGAAGTGTGCGGGAGGGAAGAGGGGAAAAAGGGCTGGGGCCGGCATTGATTGCTGGGTTCAACAGACCTGCAACCATGCAGAGCAGAAACGACGATATATACATATATATATATTTGTGTGTTTGTGTATGTCAGTTGTGGAGTTTGAACTCAGGGCCTGGGCGCTGTCCCTGAGCCTCTTTGTGCTCAAGGCTAGCACTCTACCACTCGAGCCACAGCGCCATTTCTGGTTTTTCAGTGATTAATTAGAGCTAAGAGTCTCACGGGGACTTTTCTGCCCTGGCTGGCTTCTAACCACCATCCTCAGATCTCAGCCTCCTGTGTAGCTAGGATTATAGGCGTGAGCCACCTGTGGCCAGCTGGAAGGGTTTATTTTTATTTTTATTATTTTTGTGGTGCTGGAGATTGAACTCAGGAGCTCATGCTCCTGATGGCTCTTTAGGGAAGTTCTTTAAAAGTGTCTAGAGATCAACCACTGGAGATCATATCTCACCACTATTACCTTATCGTCATCACCGCCATCATTACCATCACCATCAAGCTACAGCCAATGGAATAGTCTAGACCAAGTACCATTGCCAGGCACCGGTGGCTCACGCCTATAATCCTAGCTACTCAGGAAGCTGAGATCGCAGGTCATGGCTAACCTCCGATTCTACAGGCACCCCACAGTGTAGACAAACTCCCAGAAGCCTTTGCTTCCTTAGGCTACAAAGCCTGACTCACCATTCCCAATTTTCTTTTCTAGAAAAGCAGAGGCTCTCCTGTGGAAGCTATGAAGATCTAGATTCCACACACGGCTGTGTCATGGGAGACTGGGGCGTGATTCTTCACGCTGCTGAGACTCTTGGAGCTGATGCATCACTACACCTCAGACACAGGTACAAATACCAACACAAAGCAACCCTAATTTTCTTCCAGCAAAATACTGCTAGTCCCCAATCATGTCACTCAGCAACAAAGGCCCTGGAGTCGCCCAATGTCAGGCCCAGAAGACTGCCTCCTTCTAGAATCTCCATGTGAGACCCTCTCTGGGCAATGAAATGGGGTGTGTGGTTGGCTGCATCATTACAAATGCCTGGAATCAACAGCCACGTCACCCCTGAACCCGCAATGCTCTGATGGGAGTTGGAGTGTGGTTTTACCTACTCGAGTCTTATCTTACCCAGCAGCACCTTGGTCTGGCACCTTGAGGAAATCCAGGCTCTCCAGCGTCTGGGACACGCGGTCTGAGCCTGTGGACTGTTGCCGGGGCAGAGGTGGGCGGGCCATGGAGGTGTACAGGCTTCTCTGATTGGACCTTTGGTTCCCAGGGGCGTGGGGTTGTGGCACAAATTGGTTTTTGATGATGCCATTTTGGTGATATCCTGGAGGGCAGAAAGGAGAATACACCTTCAATTCTATGAGGCCAAAATGCCTCGGGCAAGTCATTTAATTCTCTGTCCCTCAGTTTCTCCATCTGAAAAATGGGAGGGATCATAGCGAATATACCATACCGTAGTGGAGCTGTGGTATTATTTTATTTTTCCCTCCAACTTCCCTGGGGGTAGAAGTGAGGAATCAGATTGTATGCATTTCCAAGTTTGAGTACTGATCTCTGATAACAACAACAACAAACCAAATAACTAATCCTAAGGGTCAGGTGGTAGAGTGCCAGCCAATGAGGAAAACGTTAGATAATTGAGTTTTGGTCCTCATATTGGAGGGGGGGGGGGGGGAGAATGTTTACACCTAAGGGGTAAGTGCATAGAACTGATGATGATGATGATGATGATGATGATGATGATGATAGTAGGGCTAATAACACATCATAAATTTCCTAAGAAGTGTCTCAAGGCATGGTTAAATTTGACAATAGGATCCTCCAATGTCTGGGTTTCAAAGCCCACAGTCAAGGAAAGAGATCTTGCGGCTAGTTGGGCATATGCTTCCTATCTGAGGCTTGGCCTCAAATGGGCAGGCAGGGGCTTGAACTCAGGAACTGGGCACTGTCCCTGAGCTTTTCTGCTCAAGGCTGGTGCTCTACCACTTTGAGGCACAGCACCACTTCTGGTTTTCTGCTGGGTCCTTGGAGGTAAGAGTCTCACGGACTCAAGCTCCTCAGATCTCAGCCTCCTGAGCAGCTTGGATTACAGGCGTGAGCCATGGGTGCCTGGGATGCACTTTCATTTTCACAGAGTAGGTCTCGATGCCTTTGGCAGCAACTTGCTCTGTTGGAATGTAGAGGTCACTTCCACGCTGAAACGTGGCTACCAGGTTGGGTCAAGCCAGATGAAGCATCTTTTTTTTGTGATTTTTAAAGTTGAGATCACAGAGCTCCAAAGCTGCTAAGTGATGGTGAGATTATGCATTGGGGATCTTAGTCCGGGGTCTTGGAGGGAAGCCATCAGCTCCTTCCTTTAACACCAACAGGACAGGGCAGGCAGGGAGAACAAGACTCCTTGAGCTCAGGGCCTGGGCACTGTCCCTGAGCTTCTTTGGCTCAAGGCTAACACTCTACCACTTGAGCCACAGCGCCACTTCTGGCTATTTTCTGTTTATGTGGTACTGAGGAATCGAACCCAGGGCTTCATGTGTGCTAGGCAAGCACTCTACCCCTAAGCCACATTCCCAGACCAAGAGCTAAATACTTGAAGCAAATGTCTGTTATACAGCAAGTGAAATCTGGAAGGGGCGGGGGGAGTTTTCCTGTCAGAGTGAAAGGCTTAAAGTGGGGTTCAGGGACAGGCCACACCATGTATGTGCTGTTGGAGACTCACTCACCTAAATGAGTTCAGAAATGAAAAACAAAAAGAGCTTGTAGAAATGCTCATGGCAGCTGGACAGATATACTTTATGCCTCTTGACTCTAACAATAAAAGTTTTGGCTTGTGTTTTGTATACTTTTACAATTTCATTGTTCTGTGAACTTTTTTTTGTTATTATTGTATGTTTGCAAAAGTGTGGTTTGGCATGACCTAGGATTTTTTTTTTAAACCAAAGAGATTAAAAATCCTGGTTTTTTCATTTTTTTGCAGATAGTTCAAAAAGGGCTGATTTGATAGATTGGGGGAGTTGTTCCTGGGAAGAAATGGTCACTTGCAGAGATTTGGGACCATGATCAAGGTCAGATGTGCTATGGCCTAATTTGGCCTGAGATTACTTGGGCCAAAGTAGCTGAAAGCAAGGAATGTTCCATCCAGGTGGTCCTGGCCAGTACTGACAAGTAACATAACACAAAGCCTGCTTCTCCTGGCTTCTACCATCTTTCCATTTTTCTCGTGGATAAAAGGCAAAGGGAAGAAGCCATGTCCTGGTGGCTCACCCCAAGCTAAATAATCCTAACTACTCAGAAGGCCAAGATCAGGAGAATCAAGGTCTAAAGCCATCCCTGGCAGAAAAAAATTGCTGAGACTTCATGTCTGATTAACCAGCAAAAATCCAGGCTGGAGGCATGACTCAAGCGGTAGAGCACCAGGTGAGCAGTGCTGGCAGAAGAGAGAGAGAGGAAAAGAGGAAGGAAGGAAGGAAGGAAGGAAGGAAGGAAGGAAGGAAGGAAGGAAGGAAGGAAGGTAGATAAAGGAATCGAGAAAGAGATGGGGAGGGAGGAAAGAGAGGGGATGAAGGAAAAGAAAGAGAAAAACGAAAATTAAACTAAAGCAAAATGGATTGTGTGTCTCATTTGCCTAGCAAATGCAAGGCCCTGAAATAAGGGCCAAAAAATGCTTTTGTAGCAATTTCCTAATTCTCACAGGTATAGTTTTGTTTGGGGAAGTCGCCTGGACCTTATTTGTCTAGGAGTAGGTGTCTTTATACTCATTTCTGAACTGATTACCTAGCTGTGAATCACCATGGTGGTGTTGGTTACATGCCAGCATCCTGCATCTTAAAAAGGGCTCACAGCCTCTGGCCTAGTAAACAGAGGCCCCAAGGGAGTTGCCTGCAGTATAATGACTCATGGTGCATTGACAATGTGATTGGCTGACCTGTGATTGATTGACATGTGTGCCCGCATTGGCTACTGCATTCCTTCCCAGACATATTTTAGAAGCTGTGGGTGGAGACGCAGTAATCCCAGGCTTACCTGGGGGAGGAGGCGCGGCCCTCATTGGGTAGTTGGCGGTCTGAGTCCCGCCAGGACGTCCTCGGCACTGGATGGTGTTCCTTCTAGTGGGACCTGAAATAAACAAGACCAAGCTAGCATTAGAATAGCAGCTGGACTGTTCGCAATAGCCAGGATATGGAAACAACCTAGATGCCCCACCACAGATGAATGGATCCAAAAATTGTGGTATCTATACACAATGGAATATTATGCAGCCATTAGAAATGACAAAATAATGGCATTTGCAGGGAAATGGATGGAGCTAGAAGGAATCATGTTGAACGAGGTAAGCCAAGAACGAAGAGACAAACGGTACATGGTCTCCCTGATAAGTGGATGCTAAATCCAAAAGGTTAGGTGATACGATAAAACTAACAGGACTTAAGAAACAAAGAACTCCCGCTCATCTGGTTGAACCACTACTAAATATCCCCATGCTGCTGATCACAAATATGGTATATAACATGTGAACACTGTTATATATTACAGACTGTGGTAGACAATTTGCTCCAGGGAAGTTAGAATGAACTTGTGACTTTGAAATTATGTAATCATTTAATCACAATCAAAAAAAAAAAGAACCTCGGGGAAGGGAGGGAGGGAGGGGATGGTAGGGGGAAAACAATGGAGGGGGTAACAATGTTCAAGAGGAAGTGTACTCATAACCTCACTCATGTAACTGTAACCCTCTGTATAGTAGCTTTACAATAAAAAAAAATAAAAAAAAATAAAAAAAAAAATAAAACAAACTTTGGAACAAAAAAAAAAAAAAAGAATAGCAGCTGGATTTGATGGGTTCCTCATGTCCCAATATCAACTTATGCACGCACCCACTAAAGAAATGAAGAAATTAATGAGTAACTAAAAGCTTATTTAAAAAAAATAGGAAGAAGCCGAGTGCCAGTGGCTCACATCTGTAATCCTAGCTATTCAGGAGGCTGAGATCTGAGGATCAGGGTTCAAAGCCAGCCTGGAGAGGAAAGCCCATGAGCCTCTTATCTCCAATTAACCACCAGGAAACTGGAAGTGGCGCTGTGGCTCAAGGGGTAGAGCGCTCGCCTTGAGTTGAAGAGCCAAGGGACAGTGCCCAGGCCCAGAGTTCAAGCCCCATAACTGACAAAAAACAAAAAAATAGGAAGAGAGGCTTGGAAATGTGGCTTAGTGGTAGAGTGCTTGTCTAACCTGCATGATGCCTTGGGTTCGATGCTTCAGCACCACATAAACAAAAGATAAATAACATTTAAAAAATGAAAAACAGAAATAAAAACAAACAGAAAAAGCCCTGGAATTTGACCTTGTGTATGTCTTTATTTCTTATTGGCCAATCCTGGGCTTGAACTCAGGGCCTGGGCACTGTCCCTGAGCTTCTTTGGCTCAAGGCTAGCATTCTACCACTTGAGTCGCAGCTCCACTTCTGGATTTTTCTGTGAATGTGGTACTGAGAAATCAAACCCAGGGCTTCATGCATGCTAGGCAAGCACTCTACCACTAAGCCACATTCCCAGTCCTACCCCTACCACCCCCCCCCCCACACCCCGCTTTTGAGACATGGTTTCAATGCACAGGACAGGCTGGCCTTGAACTCATGGTTCTCCTGTCTGGATCCCCAAGCACTAGGATTACAGGTATGCACCACTCCAGTCCCCCCCCCCCCCCCCCCCCCCCGTCCTAAGGCTTGAACTCAGGGTCTGGGTACTATGAACTTTTGTGCTCAAAGCTAGTGCTCTATCATTTGAGATATAGCTCACTTTTGGCTTTTTGGTGGTTAATTAGAGATAAGAGTCTCATGGACTTTCCCACCTGGACTGGCTTTGAACCATGATCCTCAAATCTCAGCCTCCTGAGTAACCGGGATTACAGGCATGTGGCACCAGTGCCTGGCTCTGTCCATTTCCTTTGATACTGTGTTAGTGTGAAATTTCCCACACACGGTGGGCCACGTGTTCCCCATTCCTGGTGCCCGCTTGGGCAGTGGGTCTGAGCACGTGGGCTGAGCGTCAGTGGTCCCCATAGAATACTTACGGGAGTTTTTGGGCAGCCCAGGTCCGATGCTGACCTGCAGCACTTTGTTACTGGGCTTCAGGATGGCCAGGTCGCCGAAGCCTTGGTGGAATTGCACTTGCCGGGAGCCCCCCGCACTCCAGGGACCCCAGTTCTCCTTTTTCAACTTTAATTCAAGCCTGCAACAAGCACGTGTATTGAAATTAAGTTCGAAAAGAAGGAAACAGTTCAGAGAGCTCTGCTACAAGTACACTCTAAAAGGGATCCAGACCAGACAATCTAAGCCTATATGGTAGTGCATGCCTGTAACCCCAGCAACTTGGAAGGTGGACATAGGAAGGATCACGGTTCAAATACAACATGTACAAAAATGAAACCAAAGCTGGGGGCTGGTGGCTCATGCCTGTAATCCTAGAGATTTGACAATCAGGGTTCAAAGCCAGCCCAGGCAGGAAAGTTTAATTAACCACTAGAAAACTGGAAGTGGTGTTGTGGCTCAAGTGGTAGAGTGCTCGCCCTGAGCTGAAGAGCTGGGAGACAGCGCCCAGGCCCAGAGTTCAAGCCCCATAACCAACAAAAAAAAGAGGAGGGGGGAATGTACCTCAGTGATACAACTCCTGGCCTTGCAAGTACAAAGCCAAGAGTTCAAACCCTACTACTGCCCCAAACAAATAGCCAGCCCCCTGAATCCCATTTTTCCCTGTTTTACTTGGGTGGCTTTGTATAAATGATAAAATGCATCACCTCACAGAAATGTAAATGTGACCAACAACCCAGGCAGTCTTCAGCAGGCTCTGGGGAAACTGAGGCACCCACGGTAGGGTTTGTAAAAGTCGTGAAAGCCAGTGAGACCTATTCCTTCCCATCCACCTCCCCTCCTCTCAGACTGCACCCCGGGGCAGGATCCCAAAGCCCCTCTCGATTTTACTGACAAGTTTGGGACCCCGACTTACGTATTGCTGAATTTGAGAGGTAGCTGCTTCTGAGTCTTCTCCTCATAACGCTTTGCTAAGAGGCTTAAGAATTCAGTTTTGAAGACAGATTCAAGCAAACTGTCGTATTCTTGCTCATGGAGAATGAAAATGTCATCTTGCATGGTGCTGTGGAGAGAGGAGACAAACTTAGTGAGATGAACCCTGGGTTACTCCGTCATCCTCACGATGTCACCATTATTTGGTGCTAGGCATTGAACCCGGGACCTCATGCATGCCAGGAACCTATTCTAAATGCTATCCAGGCACAGCATGGCATATGGTGGTGGCTGGTTTTACTCCTACACTGCGGGGCTAGCTTGCCTTTCTGTGGCTTTTCTGTCCTTCCTTTCTCCCTCTTTGGGCGTTTTTTTCTTTCTCCTTTCCCTTCTATTTTTCAAAATCTTTCAAAACAAAATGCACACCAATGAACTGCACAATACATTCGATGGAATAGTTTTCCAAGGAAATCCATCAGCCCATCCACAGCAGAATCAAAATCCTTCTTCAACAAGATTTCTCAAATCAAGAACTGAGCTGGGAAGGTGGCTCAGTGGTAGAGCGCTTGCCTTGCATGCATAAGGCCCTGGGTTCGATTCCTCAGCACCACATAAGCAAAAAGAAAAAAGCCGGAAGTGGAGCTGTGGCTCAAGTGGTAGAGCGCTCGCCTTGAGCTGAAGAGCTGAGGGACAGCGCCCAGGCCCAGAGTTCAAGCCCCACGACCAGACCCAAAAAAAACCAAAAAAAAAATCAAATCAAGAACTGAAGGCAGAGGTGGTAGTGCATGCCTGTAACCCCAGCAACTTGGGAGGTGGAAATAGGAAGGATCACAGTTCAAATACAACATGTACAAAAAAAAAAACAAAAACAAAATAAAAGCCAGGTGCTGGCGGCTCACGCCTGTAATCCTAGCTACTTAGGAGGCTGAGAGCTGAGGACTGTGGTTCAAAGTCAGACTTGGAGACTGCTGAGACTCTCATCTCCAATGAACCACCAAAAAGCCAGAAGTGGTGCTGTGGCTCAAGTGGTTGAGCATTAGCCTCAAGTGGAAAAAGCTCAGGGATAGTGCCCAGGCCCTGACTTCAAAACCTAAGATCCTCTTTAAAAAATAATAAAAATAATAAAATAAACATTTAAAAGATATAAGAGCCACAGCACCACTTCTGGCTTTTTCTGTGTATGTGGTACTAAGGAATCGAACCCAGGGCTTCATGCATGCTAGGCAAGCAACTCTACCACTAAGCCACATTCCCAGCCCTTTTTGATCTGTTCTTTAGCCATCTTCTCCTGACTGGTCAGGCCTCATAGGAGATAAGGCATCTCGTTTGGGGGGGGGGGGGGTCTACCCATTCACCAAATTACTAAGAGGTAAATGATCTTTGCCTTTTCTCCTTGCTACGCTCTCTACTTTTTGCCCTACCATCTTGTGTCTTTCCTTCAATATTTTTGTCAGATTGAGATGATGAACCCTTTGGCCCAAACTTCCAGGTCAACCATCAATTTCCAAATCCCGCCCTTCAAGTGACCCAGACATGCAATTTGATGAAGCCAATCATCAGCCAAGCCGGGGTTCCAGCTTAAACCTGTATGTACCCTCAGCCCTAAAGTTCTGGAACTGGATAGATTCAAAACTTGTAGATTTATTTATTCTACAGGGGAAAAAAAAAATCAGACTTATCTTTGGCCTCCACCTCTGTCGAATTCATAGGCCCAAACTACAATCCCTCCCAGATGTCTGACAATGTCCTTTGTGTTGAAAATTCTTTCCCTGGCCTCTGGTTTGGCTTAGAACTTGGACTTGATTCAGTGTCTTTGTGGTTTGTTGTGGTATGGCCGATCACACTAGAAAAATCTCCTTTTACTCCTGTCACCAAGAATAGATCAGCTTCACAAAAGCATTTGTTACAAAACACTGGGTACATTCTGGGGGCCGGGGGTGGGGGAGGGAGGGAGGGGGAGGAAAGGAAGCTGAAAGACAATGTGGAAATAGAACTCTGACTTTCTTGAACCTTCATAGAAAAAATAAAAATTCCGGGACTGGGAAGGTGGCTCAGTGGTAGAGTGCTCGCCTTGCATGCATGAGGCCCTGAGTTCGATTCCTAGTACCACATAAGCAAAAAGAAAACAGCCGGAAGTGGCGCTGTGGCTCAAGTGGTTGAGCGCTAGCCTTGAGCTGAAGAGCTGAGGGACAGCGCCCAGGCCCAGAGTTCAGGCCCCACGAATGGACCAGAAAAAAAAAAAAATTCCCTGCTGGGCACAGGTGGCCCATTGTGTGTAATCCTAGCTACTTGGGATGCTGGGATCTGAGGATGATGGTTCAAAGCCAGCCTGGGCAAAAAGTCCAGGAGACTCTTCCTTCCATTAAACTACCCCAAAATAGCCAGAAATGGTGCTGTGGCTCAAGTGGTAGAGTGCTAGCCCTGAGCAAAAGCAGCTCAGGAACAGTGCCCAGAGTTCAAGCCCCAATGACCAGCACAAAACAGAACAGAACAAATCAGTAGTCCAGAAGGAGCAAAGAGCCACATTCCAGAAGGTTCTGTGAATTCTCTATATGCTCTCTCCCTCCCTCATGCTCCTCAACACCATACCATCACTGGGTTCTTTTTAAAGTGATGTATAAATATTAGATCATTTAATGCTTCAATATTTCAGGGGGTACCATTAAAACGCGGTCTCTGGATGTGTACAAAAATAACCACAATGCCATGATCACATCCATACAAGCGACCGATAAATCCTCCCTTTCAAATAGTTAGCACATGTACGCCTTGCTGGCTAATTGCTTGTGGATGCCTCTGTCATGAGAATCAGGAGCTGGGGGGCCACTGGACACCCACAAATCTTGGGCTGTAGGAGAGAGGGGAGCTCAAGCACGAGGCTTGATGGCTTTGTACTAGAAGATTCCATGAGGTGAAGGCAACCCAGCCAATCAGCTACTGGGAAGGCTGGTACATTCTTGGCAACCCATGCAGATGTTACAGTTTCCTTTCCTGAGGACCCAGACAACTGAGAAAAACCTGTCTGGGTGGCAGGAGTTGGTAGTGTGCAAGACACAATAACACTTCCCTCGTGCCACGCCCACACTCAGTTGTCAGTGGCCACCATTCATTTCTACGACAGGCTCCATTTTGCACACATCACCACCCTTTTGGTGACTTTCCTTAAGCGCATTCTTTGGCAGGAGGCAATCGTGGGGTGTAAATGGCCTGATGCTTACGAGGTAGGTGCTCAACCACTTGAGCCAGGCCTCCAGCCCTTTGTGATTCAGGCTACTGTTTCCCACATAGGATTTTGTGCCTTTTTTTTTTTCTTTTTTGGCCAGGACTGCAATCTTCCTGCCAGTGCTTCATGGGAGAATTGGGGATTCGTGTTCTAACTCCTGCCCAGTTGTTCATTGAAATGGGGTCTTGTTAACTTTTTCACCTGGCCAGCCTTGATCCATGATCCTCCAGATCTCTGCTTCCTAAGTAGCTAGGATTACAGGCATGAGCCACCGTGCTCAGACCCTTTATTTGGCTTCTGATACTTGGCCTAACCTGCGTTAATATGTACCATACACAACCACCATATGCAAAGATTATAAGTGGGCTTTTTCTTTGCTTTCTCACTCAAGGCTGGTACGCTACCGTTTCAACCACATCTCCAGTTCCAGCTTTTTGGTGTTTAATTGGAGATAAGAGTCTCGCGGACTTTCCTGCCCAGGCTGGCTTTGAACTGCGATCCTCAAATCTCAGCCTCCTGAGTAGTTAGGATGACAGGCGTGAGGCACTGGTACCTAGCTCTGAGTTGACATGTTGGAAATAATTCAAGCATTTCAGACACTGCCTGGTTCTTTATGTAGGAAACCTTAGGAACAGATAGCAATCAGATGCCATAGAAACACAGGCAAGAATGGACGTGCTGAAATCTGTTATTCTTTATACATCAATCAGAGCAGGAATTCCAGCCTGGTGAGTCTGATACCTGAACACTGGAAATCCCCACTTTCTCTAGAGCCTAGAACTTTAGATTTTATTTTTGGTCAGTCATGGGGCTTGAACTCAGGGCCTGGGTGCTGTCCCTGAGCGATTCTGCTTGAGGCTAGCACTCTCCCACTTTGACCCATAGCTCTACTTCCAGTTTTCTAGTGGTTAATTAGAAATAAGAGTCTCAGGGACTTTCTTATCTGGGCTGGCTTTGAACCATGATCCTCAGATCTCAGGCTCCTGAGTAACTAGGATGACAGGCATGAGCCACCAGCACCTGGCTGGAACTTTTAGGTTTTGTGAAGAAGAGTTGAAAGCCATCCTGATTCCAAGCTGACATGTTCATATCAGAACATCTCCACTGGGTCCTGGGATTTGAACTTGGAGCTTTGTACTTGCTAACTAGATGCTCTACTACTTGGGTCAGACCTCCAGTAGTGTGGGGGATAGGGTCTGGCTCTTTTTGCCCAAGACAACCTATATACCATGATCCTCCTTTACCTCACATTTGCCATTAGAGGTGTGTACTACTATGCTGGGCTTTTCCCAGTAAGATGGGATTTCTTCTCACTAGAGGAAATGAGATCTTAGAAACTTCCCCTCCAGGACACCACTGCCTGCTTTTGCTGGTAAGCAGTTAAGTCTCTGAGACTGGACACAAGGCTCAGAATCCTTTGCTTCCACTTCAGTAAGAGCGAGATCCTCTGACCCTGTTTGTACAAGCCCATTTCTAAGATGTTCAGGAGACACTGGGCCTTGGAGGAGCCCACCAGATGGAAGCTGGTTTTCTTTTTGGTCAGAGGAGGTAGTCCTGTGATTTGAACTCAGGGCCTTGCACTTGTGAGGGAAACACACGAGCCACGCCCCTGGCTGTTTTTGCGTTATTTATTTAGGGTCTCACGCTTTTGCCCAAACTGACATTGAATCATGTGATCTTCCTACTGACATCTCCCAGTAGCTGGGATTACAAGCATGAGCCACCACACCAAGCCACGACTTGTTCTGGGTATCTTATTCTGGTTCTCACGGGGGGGGAAACCCCCCAGGAATTATGACATCATCATTCAAGGGTTCTTTGAGGAGAAGGGAAATTCCATCCTCTTCCATCATGATTTTGCCAAGTGGAGGGGCGGGGTGAGGGGGAGATGCACTGCGTTCGGAACAGTAATGCTTCGAGCACCCAGCTCTACCACGGTCCCTGCTCACCTGAGGGACACCGACAGGATTCGCTCCATCTCAATCTTCCGCTTCAGGACCTCCTTCACAAGGCCTTTATCTGGGCCTTGCTTGACCTTTTCTCGTCCAATCAAGTACATGCACTTGGGGGTGAGGAGCAGGTCTCGCTTGACACCCTAGAATGAAAGGAATTTTAAGACGGTAGCTCAGCCCCAGAACCAGTGGCTCATGCCTGTCACCCTAGCTACTCGGGAGGCTGAGATCTGAGGATCACGGTTCAAAGACAATCTGGGCAGGAAAGTCTGTGAGACTCTTGTCTCCAATTAACCACTCAAAAACCGGAAGTGACGCTGTGGCTCAAAGTGGTAGAGCGCTGGCCTTGAGCAAAAAAATCTCAGGGACAGCGCTCAGGCCCAGAGTTCAAGCCCTATGACCGACATTAAAAAAAATAAATAAAAGCAAATGCCTATGGCAGAATATTTCTTATTAAATTAATATCTATTCCATTTTTTTCTGATCCAAAAAAAAGACAATGAAAGATATCAAATAAGAGCTGGTTAATGAGAAGTTGTTTTAAAGAATAATAAAGCATTCACTGAATGGAATACTGTGCGGGTATACTAAACAGCTTACAGTGATATATCCTACAAAATTAAGAAGAGGGAGGGAGAGAGGGAAGGATGGGTGAGATTGTTGAAAACGGTGGCAATTATTAAGACCTATGTAATCATAAACTACTTATTGCTGGGTGCTGGTGGCTCACGCCTGTAATCCCAGCTACTTAGGAGGCTGAGATCTGAGGATTGTGGTTCAAAGCCAGCCCAGGCAGGAAAGTCCATGAGACTCTTATCTCCAATAAACCACCAGAAAACTGGAAGTGGCACTGTGGCTCAAGTAGTAGAGCGCTTGTCTTGAGCTGAAGAGTTCAGGGACAGCACTCAAGCCCAGAGTTCAAGCCCCACGACCGACAAAAAACAAAAACCAAACTACTTTGTTGAATAGCAAGTCCTTTGAAACAAATCCAGGACATACAAGAATGTGATGTGTAACATGCTTTTTGTAAAACTAAGTTTGCAAACATGAACGCACGAGAAAAAAAGATCTGAAGGATAAACACAACATGTTCACCGTTGATTCTGTTTGCTTTTCCTTTGGCTTACCTGGGGTTTGTTTTTTTAAATCGAATTAACATGATCTGCTTTGACAATCAGAACAATAAACTCACAAGTTATTGAGTTTTTGTTGTAAAGTTTGGATGACGTTGTTGTGTTTTCAGGTTATGTACAAACATGAAGGGGTTTTATTGTGTTATTTCTGCAGTTCTAGGGTTTGAATTCAGGAGCTTGCGCTTCTAGACAGGTGTTCCATAACTTGCTTGACATTTTCTTTTCTGAACAGTGTTTTGCATTTTTGTCCTCCTATCTTCTCCTTTGTGGCTAGGATGACAAGCATCTTGAATGCAGGGCCTAGGAGCTGTCCCTCAACATTTTCCTTGAGGCTAATGATCAAACACTGATGCATAGGAGATGAGTCAGCTGAGGGCTGACTTTGAACTGTGGTCCTCAGATCTCAGCTTTCTGGGTAGTTAGGATTTCAGGCATGAGCCACACAGCTCAGAGCTAGTTTGCTCACAGAACTGGGACCTGCAAATAAATATTCTGTCTGGACTGGCCTTACACTTTGATCTTGCCCATCTCTGCTTCCAGAGTAGCTGGGATTACAGGCATGAGTCACCATACTCAGCAAGTGATGTATGGCGGTGGTGAGGCTCAGAGCAAGTGGCCAGGACATACCTTGAACCGCCTGTCATACTTGGTGACCGTGTCAGCAAAGTCGATCTTCTCTCGCTTGCCCACAAACTGCTGGAGCTCTGGGTGTTCCTCCATTCCAATGTAGTCCCCGATGAAGTTCCGGTTAATGCTGTTTCTCCTCCTCTCCTTCTTATTCAACAATAGGTCTGAGGCTGCAGTTCCCAGAAGAATAGGCAAGGGCAGAGGAAAGAAAATACACAAAGAAACACCAAATGATGTGTGCTATTTAGCACATGAATTTATGTGTGTGTGTGTGTGCACGCACGTGTGCACACACGCACACACCATTCTTATGGCTTGAACTCAGGGCCTTGGGGCTGTCCCTGAGCTTTTGTGCTCAAGGCTAGGACTTTACCATTTGAGACACAACCCCACTTCCACATTTTTTTTTTGTTTGATTTTTGCTGGTTCATTGGAGGTAAAGAGTCTCACAGTCAAAGCCAGCCCAGGCAGGAAAGTCCGTGAGACTCTTATTGCCAATAAAACCGGAAGTGGCGCTGTGGCTCAAGTGGTAGAGCGCTAGCCTTGAGCTGAAGAGCTGAGGGACAGCGCCCAGGCCTAGAGTTCAAGCCCCACGACTGACCAAAAAAAAAAAGTCTCACAGACTTTCCTGCCCGGGTGGTTGGCTGTGAACCGACATCCTGCAGATCTCGGCCTCCTCAATAGTTAGGATTATAGGCAGGAGCATATGACTTAACACGTCCAATGAAATGGGTTGGTGCAGCAACCTATTCATAAGATGCATTAACTGAGTGAAACCAAATGACTGACATTACCTTCTTCCCTCATTTGGACATATTTCTTCCGGGCCACGAATTTTCTCCAGGATTTCTGTATTACCCGGGCATACCCATCGTACTTTCTCTCTCTCATCTCTTCTAGAAGAAATAACTGTGAAGGCAGAGAAAAGAGGCGTGAGCCAGTCTACCGGACTTAGCATCAGCACTGGGCATTGTGGTTATGTCAAGGACAGGAATGAAAAGCAGCTTGATAGACCCATGAAACAGACTCATCAAACCCGATTACTCATAAAACCCCATGCTTTTTTCACCAGTCTCATTCTTCAGTGTAGCCTGGGATGACAGGAAATGTGCCACTATGCCCTGGTCTGGGTTGAAAGGGGCGTGGGGGGGGTGGGGGGTATGGAAACTCTTGAACCTTCCTACCCAAGCCTCCCGATTCTCCTTATCTCAGCCTCCTTAGTAACTAGGATTAGACCCACCAGCATCTGACTCCATACATATTTTTTTTCTCTTAACGAAAAGTAAGGGTATATGATTGCATCTGAGTGTGTTGTAATAGTCTCTGGCCAGGTGCTAGTGGCTCCTTCCTATGATCCTAGCTACTCAGGACACTGAGATCTGAGGATGGTGGCTCAAAGCCAGCCTGGGCAGGAAAGTGTCTGAGACTCTTACCTCCAATGAGCCACCAAAGAAGCCAGAAGTGATGCTATGGCTCAAACGGTAGACCCACACGAGTCTTGAACAAAAAAGCTTAGGGACAGTGCCCAGGCCCTGAGTTCAAACCCCAGGACCAGCATTAAAAAAACAACACACAAAAACTCAGTGGATATTGGATATAAATTCCCAAAGTTCAAGTGAATTGGGACCCCCCCCAAAAAAAACAAAAAACAAGCAAAAAAAAAATCCCCCCAAACCTTAAGAAAACTATGGAGGCCATCTTAATTTATACACGGGAAATTAGCAAGTCGAAAAGGAAAAGCATCAAGAAATATGCCAGCGTGCCGACACATAACTGTCCCAGTTTAGAAAGAACAGGAACTTTCTGTGGGTTGCTTAATGGCGTATGACACAACATTTTCATTTTATATTTGGAAATGAAATGGCTGTGGAGCTACAAATAACTCAAGAGTGGAGAGGAAGAAAAAAAAATAAAAAAGATGCTACCACCAACTTTTCCTAAACGGGTTCTAGCGATGTGGGCTGCGTATTTATTTAATAATCTTTATGGGCAGCCATTCAGCTAGAGCCTCAGACCCATCTCAATCAAACAATAATAATGGAGGAAGACCAGATGGGTAGGAGACCAAGGGTTGCCTCTTTTGCTCCAATATCGTAAGTTCTTACATTGTTCTCTCCCTTGGTCCAATGACTAATTTTGCCAACATCTGACTTTGAAACAGGAAGCTCAAGAAATAATGGCTACTGAACTCCAGTCCAGCATCTCCCCAGTTTAGAAAGGGAAGAGGGAACCACATCTCTAAGGGACTTCATCTTCCTCCTGCTCAGATGCCCGACTTCCCCTGGGCAGCACCACAACCAGAGATGCCCCCGTCCCCCACCTCGTCTTGGCAAAGATCAACAAGGGAATTGATCCTGCAGAGCCCAGAATCCCAGCTACTCAAGAGGCTGAGATGTGAGGATCGTAGTTCGAAGCCTGCCCGGGCAGGAAAAGTCCAGGAGACTCTTATCTCCAATGAACCACCAGAAAAACAAATAAAGCTGGAAGTGGTTCAAAGTGGTAGAGCGCTAGCCTTGAGCACAAAAGCTCAGGGACAGTGCCCAGGCCCTGAGTTCAAGCCCCAGGACTGGCACATACACAGAGTTGAAGCCCAGCCAGAGAGGAAACAAGGGCGGTGGGCATGTTGCACTCACAGACTCCGGGGCTTTGATGAACACCTTGCTCTTCCCCAGCTGAAACTGGTCGCTGTCCATGTTGACTGAATGCAGCAGGTGGAGTACGCCCTGCTTCTCATCTCCTCGCCACGTGGGCCAGGTGGCTTTGGTCAAGATGGCGTACCTAACAGGACGAAGCACACACAGGCTGAGCTCTCAGTCCCCAAAGACATACTTGACCCTTTACACCAGCAGCCCGACATAAGCAAACTAGAGGGACTGTGATCAGAGGATTGTGGTTCAAAGGAAAGTCTTTGAAGACGCTGATCTCCAATTAACCACCAAAACACCAAGAATGGAGGCCACAGCTCAAATGGTAGAATGCTAGCCTGGAGCAAAAAAGGTAAGGCAAAGTGCCCGGGCCCCGAGTTCAAGCTCCAATCTAGGCACAAAATTAAAGTGGTTGAATTATAAACTGTAAAATAGCCAGGAACTGGTGGCTCACGCCTGTAATCCTAGCTACTCAGGAGGCTAAGATCTGAGAATCAAGGTTCAAAGCCAGCCCAGGCAGGAAAGGCCGTGAGACTCTTATCTCCAATTAACCACCAGAAAAACAGAAGTGGCGCTGTGGCTCAAGTGGTAGAGCACTCACCTTGAGCAAAAGAGCTCAGGGATGGCACCAAGTTCCTGAGTTCAAACCCCACAACCAACAAAAAACAATAAATGGAAATAAACTGAAATATGTGACCTATATGAAACATGGTTATCTCAATAAGCCTGTGTATATTTATTTATCTCACTGGGTCATTACCTCTGCAGGAATTTCTGGAAGATACGCCGATAGGCATAGCCCGCTCTTCTCACGCGGATATTTTCTTTCAGACCCAGATATTCTACTTGATGTTTTACCCTAGAGGGAAGAAATGGATCCTGAATATTGCTGGACAACCATTTCACATTGCTTTCTTACCAACTTTGTTCCCCAACCCCAATGCCAAGCTGGAAAGAAATGCGTTTAAAAAAAAAACAAGGGGCTGGGAAGGTGGCTCAGTGGTAGAGAGCTTGCCTTGCATGCATGAGGCCCTGGGTTCGATTCCTCAGCACCACATAAGCAAAAAAAAAAAAAAAAAAATGAAAAAAGCCGGAAGTGGCGCTGTGGCTCAAGTGGTAGAGCTCTAGCCTTGAGCTGAAGAGTTGAGGGACAGCACCCAGGACCAGAGTTCAGGCCCCACGACTGGACCCCCCCCAAAAAAACAAAAAAAATAAAAAATAAAAACTATAGTATTTTACATCATAACAAAATAAGTAACATTAACTGTAAGCTAAATAACATTAATTTCCATAACACTAGGAGTTACTACAATGATCTAAGACAACCTCACATCTATTTCAAAGAATAGTAAATCAAAACCCAAAGCCAGGCATGGTAGCATACACCTATACTCCCAACTATTCGGGAGGCTCAGGCAGGAGGAGGATCTCTTGAGCCTAGGAGTTTTGTGCCGGCCTGGACAACACAATCAGATTCTCCCATCTCAAAACAACCAAATAAAAATAAAACTACATACACTTATTATTGAAATAATGAAGAAAAACAAGTTTTTTTCCCCAAATGTTAAATCCAACAGTGCTGAATTGAGTTCAACTGAACTTAAATTTAACACTGATTCCACCAAATGTCATAAAACTCTATACCTCTAGGACTTATTTCTTTTCTTTTCTTTTTTTTTTTGGGGGGGGGTCCGGTCGTGGGGCCTGAACTCTGGGCCTGGGCGCTGTCCCTCAGCTCTTCAGCTCAAGGCTAGCGCTCTAGCCACAGTGCCACTTCCGGCTTTTTTCTTTTTACTTATGTGGTGCTGAGGAATTGAACCCAGGGCCTCAGGCATGCAAGGCAAGCGCTCTACCACTAAGCCACCTTCCCAGGCCTCTAGGACTTATTTCTAAAGTGAGTGAATACAGGTATACAAGGCAATTCATTTCAATGGTTGAGTTTATAATCATGGGCTCAAATATGTCTAAGTGAGTGTTCAAGTTGTTTTCTCTCACACATCCTCTGGAAGGGAGGTATTAGGGAACCCAAGAAAGGTCTCGGGGTTGCTGGGTTTCTAGGATCAGCCAGCGCTGATCTATAAGTGAGGTGAGCAGTTTGAGTCCTTTTCTGAACCTTTCCTGGATAGCACTGACTCTCTGTGGGTCCTGTGCTGCTGGGTATTCCTGTAATCCAGTCCCGGGAGAAGTGAACTGCCCACACAGAGTGCTGTGGCTTCAGGAGAGAAGGGCTAGCTTTGTTGCCACAGGGAAGAGGGGAGTAGGGTTCCCACTGAGTCTGACGGCTGACACCCAGAAATGCTGATACCTTCAGAATAACGTGTGTGTGTGTGCGCGCGCGTGCGTGTGCACATGCACATGCATGGGGTACTAGATTTGAACTCAGGGCCTTACACTTGCTGGGCAGATGCTTTACCACTTGAAGCACACACCCTGTTCTTTATGCTTTAGTTATTTTCCAGATAACGTCTCGTACTTTTCTAGGGGAGGGGCACTGGAAAACAACCTCGGACAGCGATCCTCCTATTTACACTTCTGTAGTGGGGGGAGGGGGGAGAGGAGGATGGGATCACCAGTGCGAGTCACCACACCCAACTTGTATGTTGAGCTCTTGCTGGACATTTTGCCCTGGCCTCACTTCCACCCAAGATGACTCTGATTTATCTCTACCTCCTAAAGAGCTGTGGTCATAGGTGACAGAAAGAGAGAGAGAGAGAGAGAGAGAGAGAGAGGAGGAAGAAGAAGAGAGGAAGGGAAGGAGGGATGGAGTCAGAAAAACAATCAGGTTTCCTTTCTCTTGTGTCCTTCAAATCCCCAACTCTCCTTTTCATCTAATAAAAAAAAAATCCACATCACGAACATCCCCAATAGTTGCTCATTTTAACATCCATTCCCACACACCAGCTCTCTCCAGGCCCGTGGGTGGGCAGCGGGCCTCAAGCCCGGAGGCCGCAGTCCCACGTATGCTATACGCAGGAAGAGCGCTTCTGTTACACCGCAGCTTTGTTTACCATGACTTCCACCACCAGGGCATTTTCTTCCAGAAAGTTCTCTCTTTGGGACAATCAGTTTCACAAAACCTACTTTAAAGAACCCCAACTTCTTTTTGCATATTCCTGGAGGCTCTCCAACACCTGCTTGGGAGACCAACCCAACTGCTCATCCATGTGGCCTTCCCACAGCGTGTACCCCTCCTCCCTCCCTTCCACCGCAGTGGTGTCACAAGAAGCTATGGGACTGGAAATAGAAACTGATCCTTGATCTTCGTAGTCTGAAGAGCTCATACTCTAAACTCTTGAAACCTGGTCCAGTAAATGCTGATTGTGTCCTTGCTGCACTCAGTTCAAAGCTAGCCAGGGCAAAAAAGGCTGTGAGATTTCTTATCTCCAATGAACCCAGCAGAAACTAGCTGGAGGCGGAAGCCATGGTTCCAATGGGTGAGGACTAGCCTAGAATGAAAAAGCCCAGCAAGGGGGGTGAGGCCCTATGTTCAAATCTCGGTAAGCATGCGCACACACACACACACACACACACACACACACACACACACACACACACACACACACACACAATCTTTCAACCTTCAGAGTGACTGTTAGACCTGGGTGTTTGGGGTTTTTCATTATTGTTCTTTGAGAGGTTTCTCCACCCCATTCCACACTCTGCCACATCGGTCTCTCTCTCAGAGATCACGCATCTTTATTGCCTGTCCGAGTTGAGTGAGGAACTTGCTGGAAGCAGGGGAGAGAAACTCAAGGGAAGAAACTGACAGGGACTCGCCAGCCTCCTCTTCCCACGGTCACCCTTTGGCGTGAGTCACCTGCCAGCCTCAGCGAGCCTGTTGTTTTTCTGCAAGCTAGAGAGAACCTCTTGGGACTTGCTTCTCTGGGTCATGAGGATGAGTCACCCCAACACGGGATCTGTCTTCAGCCCTCCTTCCAGGGGGGGTCTGGGTGATGTCATTCCAGGGGATGGTGACGTCATTCCAGGGGTGATGACGTCATACCTCCCCATCTCCCAGAGCACATCCCAATCAGCACATGCCAAGTCAGCACTCAGGTGAAACCTCCGCTTTCCAGCCGGTCTCAGTATTTCACCAGGACCCTTCTTCTCCTCGGAGCATCCTGCACCACATCCTGCAGTGGCCACATCCCGGGGCTCCTGAACCCCAAGGAACTCCCAATATTTCTACAGAACCTCAAACTCATTTAAAAACACCATCTCATGTCTCTTCGGTGGTATGGAGACTTTTGTTTTTTCTCTTTCTTCCTCCCCCCCCCCCACCCCATCTGCTCCCAGACTAGCCAAGATCCACATTATAAATTGCTAATTCTGCTAGGCAAGCACTCGGCCCCTAAGCTGTAGCCTGGGAGGGGGGGGGGGGGGCCCAAAGAAAGGCCAATTCTCAGCAGAGTAGCACTGCTAAACATTGTAAGGAATCGGGGGAAAACCTAAGGACTTTCAACCTTGGAAAATGAATGGGACGCTAGACATGGAAAGCATGGGTGAACAATTGAAAACGGTCCCTGGCCTGTAAAGCAAGAGGACTTGGCAGCACAGAGATTCAAGTGTGTCACGGCCCATCAAGCTCCATCTTGACCTTCCTCTCCCCATCTCTTGCTAGTATTTGTTACCTGCTCTCTTCCCAGTCTTTGGGCTTCTTGGTTTCATTTGGTTTTATGCAGCGAATATAGTGGGGTGTGCATTTCATCAGGGTGCTGACAAGGTCGTTGGCTTGTTTCTAGACAGGAAGAATTATAGCCATTAGAGACCACACCTTTCTCCAAAGCAGATCAACTTTCAAAGGCAAAGACTTGTGAAACGCTAGGATGGAAATATAATTGCTAGGAATTAATCTTCAGGACAATTTGTTCAATAGGCCTAAATGAGGGCTCCCAAGCTTTAATTTAAGGCTCTATTGACTTTATGGCAATTTAACCACATGGTTTTGTTTTGTTTGGGGGGGGGGGGGACTTTGCAGAGAGACATTGCTCTCCCACCCAGCCTTCTTACTTTACATCTGCTACTCTACCCCTTGAGTCACCATCTCTAGTTTGGTATTTTGCTGGTTAATTGGAGATGGAGTCTCAGAGTTTTCTGCCCTGGCTAGCTTTGAATCTCAATCCTCCAGATTTCAGCTTTCTGAGCAGCTGGGATTACAGGTGTGAGGTACTGATGGCTGGCAATTTGATCACTATTAAATGGGTTGGAAGTGTGATTATTGAAAGGAATTAGAAATTTTTAGAACTGTTAATAAAACAGTAAGAAACGAAACCAACAAATCAGTCTTCACATACAAATCGTCCATAGGGAACAAGAGAATAGGTTACTTACTAAGGAATTAAGTTCAATTTACTAAAGACATGTGCAAAAACATTGTTTTCATTCATTTGGTTTTGTTTGCAAATAGTGAGCAAGATTTTTAAAAAACTCAAAATCCCCTCTATTCTCTTTCCAGGAATAAAATGAATACATAGTCCTCTCTCTCTCTCTCTCTCCTCTCTCTCTCTCTCCTCTCTCTCTCGCCAGTCATGGGGCTTGAACTCTGGGCTTGGGCGCTGTCCCTCAGTTTTTCAGCTCAAGGCGAGCGCTCTACCTCTTGAGCCACAGCGCCACTTCCAACTTTCTGGTGGTTTATTGGAGATAAGAGTCTCACAGACTTTTCCTGCCGAGGCTGGCTTTCAACTGCAATCCTCAGATCTCAGCCTCCTGAGTAGCTGGGATTACAGGCATGAGCCACTGGAATCCATCCAACCATCTCATTTTAACTGATAGAAATTGCTGGTTGCCAGTGGTTCACCCCTATAATCCTAGCTACTCAGGAGGCTGAGATCTGAGGATTGTTAATTCAAAGCCAGCAAGGGCAGGAAAGTCTATGATACTCTTAGGTCCAATTAACCACCAAAGAGCCAAAAGTGGAGCTGTGACTCCAGTGATAAGAGTACCAGCCTTGAGTGGAAAAGCTGACAGACAGCACCTAGGCCCTGAGTTCAAACCCCAGGACATGTGCACATGCACATGTGCACACACAGCATGGAAATTCACAATTAAGGAATGTGAGATCCATAAAGAGTTCAGAATTTATAACCTTGTAGGCTACTTCATTCAATTTCTTCCTCCATATTTCCCTTGCAAAACCTGCAGACAGAGCACTGTTCTTGTGGCAGGTAACTCCCTCCTCCACAAAGCTAAAAAGCCCATTTGAAATCATCACTCCTTAACTAGGGTTGGGTCACCACACTGAATTAACTTCAAGCCTCAGAAACTGAGCTGGGATTGCTTAGGATGCATTTCAAATGGTGAGAATCTCTGATTTGGTTTAAAGGAAAATAGGAGTAGAGTTCCCACGGACACAACACACACACACACACACACACACACACACACACACACACACACACACACACACACACACACAAAATGGTGAGAATCTCTGATTTGGTTTAAAGGAAAATAGGAGTAGAGTTCCCACGGACACACACACACACACACACACACACACACACACACACACACACACACACACACACACACACACACACAGCCGTACATCCTGTGGGTCCAAGGATGTGGTACAAATGCAAATTTGTCTTCCAAGCAAACCAGGCAGAGAGAAAAACCTCCAAAAAGAAAATAGCCCAGCGAATCTCTCAAACCAGAAAAACCATCATACCGTCAGCAGAAGGGACTCTGCTGGCAACACAGAGCCCTCCTCTCTGTCAATTAGGGCATTTCTGTTTTCATGCATTTAGGAAATCTGAAACCCTTGAGAAAATGATTGCATCTACTCAGGTCAAGATGTTCGTGGATGAATACAGTTCTCTGTTGAGCCATGCAGAAAAAAAAGCTTGCTCGGCACCACCTACAGTGGAGGCCAGAATAGCAGAGGCCCCCTGATCAAAGCAAAGGCCTCTGCTGAGAAAGTAAATAGTCTCTTATCTTCTTTGATGATAGAGACTGCAATCCAAAAATGATTCTGATGATACTTTGTGACCAAAGGTTAAAAGCTACAGATAGGTTGTAGAGTGGCTAGGAACAAAGCTTTGTTTTTAAGTCTCCAAAAATACTTTTTTTGGGGACCCACCCCCCCAAAAAAAGTGGGGCTTGAACTCTGGGCCTGGGCACTGTCCCTGAGCTCTTTAGCTCAAGGTTAGTGCTCTACCACTTGAGCCACAGTGCCACTTCGGTTGTCTGGAAGTTTATTGGAGATAAGAGTCTCATAGAGGGGGGGAAAAAAAAAGAGTCTCATAGATTTCCCTGCCCGGGCTGGCTTTGAACCCCGATCCTCAGATCTTAGCCACCTGAGTAGCTAGGATTACAGGCGTGAGCCACTGGCACCCAGCCCAAAAATACTTTAAAAACTTTTTGTGCTGGTCCTGAGCTTGAATTCAGAACCTGGGCACTGTCCCTGAGCTCCTATGTTTCAGTTGAGCATTCTACCACTTGGGGCCACAGCTCCACTTCTGGCTTTTGGGTGGTTAATTGGAGGCAAGAATCTCCATGAACTTTCCTGCCTGAGCTAGCTTCAAACCGTGATTCTCAGATCTTAGTCTCCTGAGTAGCTAGGATAACAGGCATGAAACACTGGTTCCTGGCTGATTCACTCTCATTTTAATACTGATCTCTTTCCAGCTACAGATTCAATAAGATTTAATAAAGCTTCAGCATTGTCACTAAACGCTGTATACACACACGTAAAATAAATTGATGAGGGCTGGGAATATGGCTTAGTGGCAGAGTGCTTGCCTACCATGCATGAAACCCTGGGTTCGATTCCTCAGTACCACATGCAAAGAAAAAGCTGGAAGTGGCACTGTGGCTCAAGTGGCAGAGCTCTAGCCTTGAGCAAAAAGCTCAGATACAGTGCTTAGGCCCTGAGTTCAAGCCCCAGGACTGGCAAAAAAAAAAAAAAAAAAAAAATCAAAACAACAACAAAAAAAATCAAAAACAAAATAAATTGATGAGTGTTCCTACCAAATGAACATTAAACTTAGATCATAATATATGAGAGAGAGAGATCATAGTGTGTGTGTGTGTGTGTGTGTGTGTGTGTGTACTTGTTCTGGGAATTGAACTCAGGACCTGGAGTTTTCAAGGCAGACAGGACACCACTTGAACCACACCTCTACAGAGTCTTTTTGTGTGGGTTGTTTTCAAGGCCACTCTCTTCACTTTCTGCTCTAGCTGCCCTGGCTGCAATCCTTCCACTCACATTTTTCCACGTCACTGGGGATGCCAGGCATGGGCCATCTCGCCCAGCCATTGATTAAGATGTCATCTCCTGAACTTTCCACCTGAGCTGGCCACACATCATCAGATCTCTGCCTTCCAGGTAGCTAGGATTCACAGGCTTGAACTATCATGCCCAGTTCTGTTTTGTATTTTTTTTTTTGCAATAATTAGAATACAATAAAAGATTCATGGTGAAGACTACTTTGCATATACATGTTTCTGTCCAGAGCTCAGGGGTCCTGATGATGATCATCATTAAGATGACAGTCATCTGCAAAAGACTGCGGATATGGAGGGAAGAATAGATGGGCAATGGCTGGATCTCCAAGAGGGCCTTAGAGGGGACAGACATAGAAGAGAGGGAGGATTTCACACAGGGGAGCACGCCAGCCAGACACGGGTCACTCAACCAGTGATCTCTATGGAGGTGGGAATACAACTTTACTGTTTTTGGCAGAACAAGGGTTTGAACTCAGGGCCTTCGCTTACCAAGGCAGATGCTCTATCATTCCAGCCACACATCTAGCCCTTTCTGCATATGTGTGTGTGTGAGTGTGTGAGTGTGTGTGTGTATAATTTATTTTATTTTTTTTGTGCTGGTCCATGGGTTTGAACTCAGGGTCTGGATGCTGTCCCTGAGCTTTTTTACTCAAGGCTAGAGCTCTAACACTTTGAGCCCCAGTGCCACTTTTGTTATTCTTGTGGTTCATTAGAGATGAGAGTTGCAGGGGCTTTCCTGCCCAGGCTGGCTTTGAACCCTGATCCTCACATCTCAGCCTCCTGAGTGGCTAGGATTACTGAGCCTTCGATGCCTGGGCAGCTTTGGGTATGTTTAAGATAGAGTTCTGCTCTTTACGTAGGCGGTCCTAGATGCATGGCAGGTGCATTTACACCCAACTTTGTTTTGTTTTGTTGTTTTTACACTGGCTGCCTGGAATCACAGTCCTCCTGATCTCAGGCTCTTGGGTAGTGTGGATGCTGGCTGTATGCTACTGCTCACAGTGGTACAATCTCTATAGATAAATGAGGTTGTGTTGTGTTATCCAGAGCAAGCATGAGAGAAAGAGAGACAGAGATTAAATCTTCAAAGGAGACCAAAATGAAAGAATAAAAATAAAAAAGCCCTGATCCCTGTTCCCTTTTTTACAAGGAATAATCCAGACCACTTGAAAATGAGTCATCGTGACCTCGATTCGCTGGGCCCTTGGATCTGAATGTGGCGATCTCATGACTAGTTTTTCCAGCTCAGAGCCAACCCTTATCCAGGATCTGCAAGTGAAGGCATGAGTCAGAAGCTTCATGCAGACATTAACATCTGGTGAAAACTTCCTCTCTGTTCTGCCCTCTTAAGTTCGCTAGCTCCTCCAATAGGATGTTCCTATTAACTCAGCTGGGATCTGCCCACCAGCTGCAACATACACCTGTAGTACCAGCTAATCAGGAGGCTGAGACAGGCTGAGCACTATCCCCTGAGCTTCTTTTGCTCAAGGCTAGCGCTCTACCACTTGAGCCACAGTGCCACTTCCGGCTTTTTCTGTTTATGTGGTACTGAGGAATCGAACCCAGGGCCTCACGCATGCTAGGCAAGCCCTAAGCCACATTCCCTGTTGTTTTTTTCTAATCCTTGTTTGCTTACTCTTTTGTTTTCTTGAGGTAGGGATATCAGAATATAGATCAGGTTGGTCTTGAACTTGTCATTCTAATGCCTCAGCCCCCCCAGTGCTGGGATTCTAAGTGGGTACTTGCATACTTGTAATCCTGCCTGTGAGACTATGTAAAAAGTAACTACCACAAAGATTCCACCAGCTTGAGTCTGGCTTTCTCCGTAAAACCTGGAGGCTGCTGGAGCTGGAATCCCTTTGGAGAATCCTTTACTGCAACCAGGCCATAAACAGCCTTGGTGTTCATGGGGCAGGGGGTATGGAGGCAGACATGGGGAGGAGGACATCACAGAATGGCCCGCAGAGCGTCAGGGAGAATGGATGGTCTTATACAGGGCATCAGCACAGGCCTACCTGATGACCTTTTGGAGACAAGGAGCATAGTGTGTGTAGGGGGGGGAGGGGAAGGCGGGGGCACGCACGGGCAAACAGAGGATGATGTAAGAGGAACCTGTAGATATCTGGTGCAGAAAATGGCTCAGGTTGACCAGATGCTGGTGACTCATACCTATAATCCTAACTACTCAGAAGGCTGAGATTTGAGAATCAAGGTTTGAAGCCAGCCTGGTCAGGAAAGTCTATGGAGACTCTCCAATGAACCACCAGAAAACCGGAAGTGGCACTGTGGTTCAAAATGATAAGACTGCTAGCCTTGAGCAAAAGAGCTCAGGGACAGTGTCCAGGTCCTGAGTTCAAGGCCCATGACTGACAGAAAGGAAAGGAAAAGAAAAGAAAAGGGAAAGGAAAGGAAAAGGGAAAGGAAAGGTCTCAGGCAGCATATTCAATGCCTTAGATGAATTACTCAGTTGAGTCATCATAACAACCCTCTCGAGATGGCTCCTGTGTTCTCCCTCACTTTACAGATAAGTGAAAGAGACATTAAGAGTGCAGTGAGGGGCTGCTGGGAAGGTGGCTCAGTGGTAGAGCACTTGCCTTGCATGCATGAGGCCCTGGGTTCGATTCCTCAGCACCACATAAGCAGAAAAAAAAAAGCCAGAAGTGGCGCTGTGGCTCAAGTGGTAGAGTGCTAGCCTTGAGCTGAAGAGCTGACGGCCAGCACCCAGGCCCAGAGTTCAGGCCCCAAGACTGGCAAAAACAAACAAACAAAAAAAGAGTGCAGTGACACAGACTGACAATGATATGCTGAGAGCCAGTGCTGGAGTTTGAACAACCAACACCCAAACAATCGAACCCCAAAGCCCTACTCAACTCTGAATCTCTACTGATCTTTTTATGTGATTTTTAAAAATAATATTAACAGGGCTGAGAAGGTGGCTTAGTGGTAGAGTGTTTGCCTAGCATGCATGAAACTCTGGGTTTGATTCCTCAGTACCACATACACGGAAAAGGCCAGAAGTGGTGCTGAGGTTCAAGTGGTAGAGGTCTAGCCTTGAGCAAAAGAAGCTCAGGGACAGCGTCCAGGCCTTGAGTTCAAGTCCCAGGACTGACAAATAATAATAATAACAATAACAACAATAATAATAATAGTAACTGATTATATGGCCTGAGGAGGGGTGGTGGAATCAATAGGGCTGGGCCTTAGTAGTTCATGCCTATAATCCTTGCTACTTAGGAGGGTGAATCTGAGGATTATAGTTCAAAGCTCACCTGGGCAGGAAAGTCTGTGAGACTTTTATTTCCAGTTAATCACCAAAAAGCTGCAAGTGGAGCTGAGCTGCAAGTAGAAGAGCACTAGCCTTGAGCAAAAAAGCTAAGCAAGAATGTGAAACCCTGAGTTCAAATTCCATTACCAACATACATACCCATGCGCACACACATTATACACATACACATACACACAATCTATCAATGGCAGCTCCTTAGAGCTACATGGTCCAGTGTGTTTAACACAACCTCTCCACATAGAACATAATTAAGCCCAACAACTTTGTCCCCCCCACCCAGGAGGGGTGGGATGGGGAGGGGGGTTCAGACAACCCCAAACACACAAGGGATTTCTGAGAAGTGGAAACGAGCTCGTTGTGCTGTTGGAATCCATGGTGGGGGGAGCGGGGGAAAAAGTACATCTGCAATTCCCAGACCGGCAGGATCCACACCTCCATCTTTTGCTGGGGGTGTGGGTCCCTCCCCAAAAATTCATCTTAAATTTTAGGCAAGTCATCTTCTCCACTTGGTGATCTGAAAGCCCTCGCCTGAAAAACTCATTAAGATCCCCTACAAGGCCCCCAACCACAAAACGGTGCTGATAGATGAACACAGTTTGAGGTCATTTCCTCTTAGAAAGTTGCTGATTATCATCCGCTGACTGGAAGACTGTGGGGTACTTAATAACCATGGGGGATTGCAGAAGAGACCAGTCACATTCAGCTCCATCCTAAGAGCTTTTCAGAACAGTGACATTTGCTCCTGGGAGCTCTGAAACCACGGCCCTCCAGTCTCCCAGACCTTCTCTAGTCCAGAGGTCTTAGGAGAGCTAGAGGGGAACCCTAGCTCTCAGCCTCTAGAAACTTCCCCCAAGAAAACTAACCTTTATTTTGCTTCCAGCCGTTGTTGGGCGTCCTTTCTTGTCGGCTTGCAGATTTTCAGGAAATAAGGACTTTATAAAAGGCCTGGGGAGGAAAAAAGTGAGAAAGGGGATGGATCAGCAACCTCTCAGGGCTGTTGGGGGAGTCATCTGACTCCAAGCGTGAAGCCAGCAGGATGGGAAGCAGAGAAGTGTCTATCAGGCAGAGTCGTGGCCTAAAAGATGGGTTTGAAAAACTCTGCCTTTGGCTGCACACTGGTGGCTTGCACCTGTAATCATAGCTACTCAGGAAGTTGGTACATGAGGATCACGGTTCAAAGCCAGGCTGGGCAGCCAAATCTGAGAGACTCCTATGTCCACTTAAACCAGAGGAAAAAGCTGAACACACAGCTATGGCTTAAGTGGTAAAGCATCAGTCAAGAGTGAAAAAGCTAAGCACAAGAATGCAAGGCCCTGAGTTCAAGCTCTAGGGAATAGACATACATACCTACATACACTCACACACACAAGAAAAAACAAAGATGCTGGTGTTTCTGGCCTGTAATCCTAGCTAATCAGGGGGATGAGATCTGAGGATCATGGTTCAATTTACAGGCATAAGCACCAGCCTCCAACATCAATATTTTTGTAACTGACAGTAAATAAAGAAATCCACGCAAGTTGGCAATCTGATGATTCAACTCAAGCTCATTATCCCTCCAAAGGACTTGTTTGAGGCCTCCTGGATTTTCCAGGAAATCACCCTCCCCCCCCCCCCCATCCCCCAGCCATCTACTTTTATCCTGACCAGACATACTTAATAGATTTTTTTTTTTTGCTGCGAATACATTTATGAAAGAATATGTCATGTCTAGATGACAGGAGATTATATGGAACTGCCATCAAGAGCATTTGAACTTGGCAGGAACTTTAATAATTAAAAACCATCTCTGGAAAGTAAGTCTTTACCTGGCCACTGTGAAACCCACAAGTCAGGGTTTGGGGCTTGCCTGACCTTTGCAGAGAAGAGAAAATGGACTTAAGTGTATTTTGAATGAAAAGAAATCTGACATCTTGCAAATGGTGGTCTGAGGGCTCAAAGGGCAAGCAGGATGGGGGGGGGGGGGGGGAGGGGAGACTAAGGCAGAGAGCTAAGTGCAGTCCAATAACTGCTCACCAGGAAATGATTTTTGCTTTCAATGCAGTTAATTTCTTTTCTTAGAAAGTTATCAGGATTGCTGATGTTAATGAATATTAAATAAAATCAAGCATTTTAAATAATATTAAATAAAATCAAGATGTGGCGGCTCACATCTATTAATCCTAGCTACTCAGGAGGCTGAGATCTGAGGATCAAGGTTTGAAGCCAGCTCAGGCAGGAAAGTCCATGGTTCTCTTATTTCCAATTACTCACCAGAAAACTGGAAGTGGAACTGTGGCTCAAGTGGTAGAGCATTAACCTTGAACAAAAGAAGATCAGGCCCGAAGAAATGCCACCCAAACCAAAACAAAACCAACAAACAAAGCTCTACAAGATCTACCAGGCTATGCAACATTGTACCTGTCTGTCATATACACGCTGCCCACCTGCTTAGGTAAATGACTTGTTACCAAGGACCTTGAAACACTTTGCAAGGAAATAGCGAAGAAAAGGACAGAGGTCATGGGGCTTGAACTCAAGGCCCGAGAGTTATTCCTGAGCTTATTTGCTCAAGGCTAGCATTCTACCACTTTGAACCACAGTACCACTTCTGGTTTCCTGGGGGTTAATTGGAGATAACAGGCCATGGGCTTTCTTGTATGGGCTGGTTTTGAACCTTGATCCTCAGATCTCAGCTTTCTGAGTAGCTAGGATGACAGGCATGAGCCACCAGTGCCTGGCTTCAGAGAATTTTTCTGAGCTGCCTCTCCTTCTCTCCGTCTACAGCTTAGGGTGTTTAAAAATGGGACTCAGCCCAGGTATGGTGGGTCATAACTATCATCCTAGCAATTGGGGAAGCAGGGGCAGGAACGACTCCCAACTCAAGAACAAACCAACCAATAAAGTTCTTTGAGTTGTTTCCCTGGAATTGCCTGCGTTCCCAAGAGCTCCTGGGATGCAGGTTAACTTAGTCTTACTAAGCTATTACCCATCTTGAAAAATGAAGTAACCCACAGAAAAGTTCTTTGGCTGCTGTTTCAAGGGCAAAGTATCACAAAACCAGACTATCTACCTCCCCCGCTTCCCCGCCCCCCCCTTCCTTCACCCCATCCTGCCTCTCTTATAATGGTTTGGGAATTTGAATTCAAGAGTCTCAGGCTCGCTAAGCAAATGCTCCACACCACGTGAGCCAGGCCCAACCTGGACCACAATCCTCCTATTTCTATCTCCCGGATGACACACGTGGCCCACGAGAACCTCTCATTGTGATCCTCCCAATCGCCATTTCCTGAGTAGCTGGGATTATAAACAAGAGCTACCATGCCTGGTGGATGACTATTCTGCTGTTGCTGGTGAAAAATGGCTCTTCACATCCAAACCTATCATGCTCACTTCTCTTCATAACTGTACCAAAACTGATGATGCCTGGCACACACACGGCATCTGTGATTGGCAGCAGGAAGTGTTAGGGACACAAGATCAAGGTCTGATTGGAGGGAAAAAAAAGTTTGGGATTTTCTTTTCTATTGTTTGTCAGTCATAGGGCTTGAACTCAGGGCCTGGGTGATGTCACTGAGATTTTTTTTTGCTCAAGGTGAGTGCTCTACAACTTTGAGCCATGGCTCTATTTCTGTTTTGTTTTCTCTTTCTCTCTTTTTTTTTTTTCCTGGTTATTTGGAGGTGAGTGTCTCTGGAATTTGTCTGCCCAGGCTGGTTTTGAACCATGATCCTTAGAGCTCAGCCTCCTGAGGATCTAGGAATATAGGCATAAGCCCGGGCCACACCCCTACCAATCCCCCAGCTAGGTAGGGTTTTTTTTCATTTGTTTTTTGGTCGTGGGGCTTGAACTCTGGGCCTGGGTGCTGTCCCTCAGCTCTTCAGCTCAAGGCTAGTGCTCTACCACTTGAGCCACAGTGCCGCTTCTGGTTTTCTGCATGGTTTATTGGAGATAAGAGTCTCACAGACTTTCCTGCCTGGACTGGCTTTGAACCAAGATCCTCAGATCTCGCATCCTGAGTAGCTAGGATTACAGGGGTGAGCCACCAGCACCTAGCTAGGCAGTTGTTTTAAAGAAAACAAGCAGACAAATTCTAGTTTGGACTCAACAACTCAAGCAAGTAAGCTGACAGGCACTCAAACAATTTAATTGGTTCGTTCTAATGCCAGAAGTTTCCGGTGGCCTCTACCATATGTCGGAAAAGGAAGACTTCACTTACAGCTCACTGCTCTGCATGAGTTCGATCAGATCCATGAAGAGAACATCGCGGTTCCGTTCACAGAAGCCATCCATGTCGTATGATACCTGGACAACAAGACAAAGAAAGCTGTTTTTATCCTGTCAGCATTGCTTAGGATATAAACTCTAAAGTAAAAATCGCTCCTATCACAAGAATGTGTGCATTTTTTATTTTATTTTTGTCAGCTGTGGAGCTTGAACTCAGGGCCTGAGCCCTATCCCTGAGTTCGTTTGCTCAAGGCTAAAGCTCTACCACTCTGAGTCACAGCTCCACTTCTGGTTTACTGGTGGTTAATTGGAGATAAAAGTCTCATGGAGACTTCAAACCCTGATCTTCAGATCTCAGCCTCCTGAGTAGCTAGGATTAATAGATGAGCCTGGCGAATGTGTCTATATAAGCTGTGGCAATTTGGGCAGAAATTCATGCTCGAAGACCAGGGTTAACAAGAATAGAGCTGGGAGGAATGAGAAATCTGGTGGAAGACAGGATGAGGAATAACAACCCAGATCAGCAGCAGCCCCCCCCCCCCCCCCAGCCTGGCACCAAATGAATATCCATGCATTGTCTACGAACAAGCAACAGCACGAACTCTCGGCTCTCTGGTGGGCATCAGAAGGCAAAGAGTCCAAGTTTGTGATTGGATCCTGTACAATTCAAGGCCTACCACTGCTGTAGTGCTTTCTATAGGTACCAGAGTGACTCCATCTTGAAAAATGTGTGCTAATAGTATTTTAGGGTTACTCTGTGTGTCTACAGGTCCTGGAGTTGAACTCAGGGCCCACATACTCTCCCTTAGATAATTTGGCATTCTAGCACTTGAGCCATAGCCACTTCTACTTTTTTTGGTGATTAATTGAAGATAAAGAGGCTCAACAGACTTCCTGTCACGGGCTAGCTTCAAATCACAATCCTCAGATCTCAGCCTCCTGTGGAGCTAAGCATGACAGGTGTGAGACACCAGCGCTTATTTGTGTTTTCCTCCCTGACTTCTCCAAAGGTCCTAGTTGTTGCAAGAATGAACTACATGGGATCTGGTGTGCCTCTGGAGAAAATACCACAGCCCTGAGGGTTCTAGCTAGGAAGCCATTGGCAGAAGATCGCTCCCCTGCTCCGGCCCTACCTTGCCAGCGTAGTGATGAATAATGAAGCCTTGGTTCCAGCTGTTGAAGTGTTCGTGGCTCCCAATCTGCATCTGGAGCTTCTGGAGCAGTGTCTGATCGGCTCCTTCACCCACAGCATGCATGGTTGCGCACACATCATCCAGAATACTCATGATGCCTGGAGGGTTCTGGGGAAAGGGGGGGGAGGGGACCAAGATGACGAGACACCCGTCACTAACTCTTCTAGAACATTCAGTGCCTACCAGGCCCTATCTTAAGCCAAGAAACCACTTCCTAGATCTAGATATCCTTTTGTGTGTTTGCCCAGGCTGGCTTGGACTTCGATCTTCCTACTAATGCTTTCCCTACAGGCCCACTACCATGCCCGATTTTTTTGTTGAGATGAGGTCTTGCTACCCTTTTTTTTGAGAGGGGGGCAGACTGGAGGGGCCTTAAACTGCGATCCTCTCAGTTTCTACCTCCTAAGTAGCTGGGATAACAGCTACTTAGATAACATACCAAGCCCTAGATAGCATCTTAAAAATCAGCCATTTCCTTAAGACAAGAACGCCACATCCCAAAAGAGCACTGAGGAACAAAAGATGAGGGCAAGTCCATTTTGAAGAAATGATTTCACCCCTTCATGTCTTATGCCAGGCCACGCACAGATCATTATCTCCTACTGGTACTAAGCTGACTTCCAAAATCCGAAATAAACGAAAACACTCCCCTTTGACCCAAATGCATTGCTGAACATCTTACGCAGGTACAGCCAGCTGAAGTGCACCATAGTTTCTATCATTCATTCCTTGGTTTCATATTCATAAGTTTGACATGTGTTTTGTTTGGATTACAGCCTTACTCTGAAATGCTGCAGCTTTTCAAAGAACGGAATAGTCAAGCCGGATGCTGGTGGCTCATGCCTGTAATCCTAGCTATTCAGGAGGCTGAGATCTGAGGATCACAGTTCAAAGCCAGCCCGGGGAGAAAAGTCCCTGTGAGACTCTCACCTCCAATAAACTACCCCCCCCCCCGCCCCAAAACATAATAAAACAAAATCCTAAAAAGCAAACCCAGAGTGGCACTTTGGCTCAAGTGGTAGAGCACTTAGCCTTGAACACAACAAAGAGGCTCAAGGACAGTGCCCAGGCCCTGAATTGTGAGACTTGAACGCAGGGTTTGGGCTCTGTCTCTGAACTTCTTTTTGCTCAAGATTAGTACTCTACCTCTTGGGCTACAGTTCTACTTCTGGCTTTTTGAGTAGTTTATTGGAAAGAAGAGTCTCATAGATTTTCCTGCTTGGGCTGGCTTTGAACCTTGATCCTCAGATCTGAGCCTCCTGAGTGGTTAGGATTATAGATGTGAGCCACCAGGGCCTGGTGATTTTTATTTTTAATAGAATCATGTTCTGTCTACAGAGCTTCCCCCCTCCCCTTTCAATCCTTTCTTAGAGTATTCATTATAGAAGTTGCATGATTGCATGAATGCCAGGCCTAGCAGGAGCAGTTCACATCATGAACGTGGGCTTCCAGAACTCAGGATCCACTCCCATTTATAAACCAACATTTAAACATGTTCCTATTTATCAGAATATTAAAACTCCACAGACCCTATTGTTCTTTATGGGGCTTGAACTCAGGCCTGGACACTGTCCCTTAGAACTTTTTCACTCAAGGTTAGCGCTCTACCCCACTCTGAGCCACAGCGCCACTTCCAGTTTTCTGGTGGTTCATTGGAGATTGGAGTCTTATGGATTTTTCTGCCCAGGCTGGCTTTGTACCACAATCCTCAGATCTCAGTCTCCTGAGGGGCTAGGATTACAGGTTTTACACCACCAGCGCCCAGCTTTACTGTTCTATTTTGATGCACAAACATTTATACAAAGCTCATATAACAGCTAAATGTCGTGACAGATCAGACTTTACCGAGAACAAAATTGCAAATGTAAGCCAAAACTTACCACTTTATTCTCTATGAGGTCGCACACAATTTTATTATTGAAGTATTCGATGGGTGTCCACCGTATTCCTTCTTGAACATACTCTTCCTGTAGGACAGAAATGAGGGACTTGCATAAATCACCATGCAGGAGAAAAACCTAAATGCTTTCTATAAAGAGTAGGAAGTTTAATTTTTTTTCTTTTTCTTTTCCTCCCCAGGAGATTCCAAGAAAGGAATATTTTATGGCGTGGGGATTTTTTTTTGCAGGGTGGGGGAGGTGTATGGGGGCTTGAATTCAAGGCCAGTGGGGGAGGGGGGCACTATCCCTGAGCTCTTCAACTCAAGGCTAGCACTCTACCACTTTGAGCCAAAGTACCACTTCCGGTTTCCTGGCAGTTAACTGAAGACTCAGACTTCCTGCCCTGGCTGGCTTTTGGACTTCTATCCTCAGATCTCAGCCTCCTGAGTAGCTAGGATTATAAGTGTAAGCCACCAACACCTGGCTCTAACTCTTTTTTGGGGGGGGGAAGGACGGGGGGTATGTTTAGTTTGAACCCTATGGTGTGGCTTACCATGTACTTTTTCTTGACTAATTAATGATGCAATATGATTTAACTTATTAAGTCCAGTTTCCTTCCCTCTCCCCTCTCCCTGCACTCACTCTCTCTCTCTCTCTCTCTCTCTCTCTCTCTCTCATGGAACAGTAGAACCTCTTAGTTAGGGGCTGTTTTCTCATGCAGGTTAGTTGCTCATTTAAATGAGATGCCCCCTGTCCTGCTGGTCTTGCTTGGTTGGTTTTCTTTGCTACATCTTCCTTCTTTCTGGACCTTTAAATGTGATGGGAGAATCTTGGGACTCAATCTTCTAGCAATCTTCCAGCAATCTTATTTCAGTAAGTGCCTGGACCTTAATACTTGCCAACTAAGGACCATGAATTCATTTCTCTAGGATTGGCCTTGCCACTGAGTTCTTGACTCCACCCATTTTTGTCATCATGGCATCTCCATGGTGGGGTTCAGTAGACCCACGCCACAAACTGGGGAGTCTTCATTCAGTATCCACTGGGAGTCCAGTGATTCATCTAGTTTACCCTTTAGGAAATACATTCACCGTTTGTTTTTTTTTTTTGGGCGGGGGGGGGGGGCAGTCATGGGTTTTGAACTCAGGGCCTTGTCACTGTCCCAGGAGCCACCGGAAGCTGGGAGAGGAAGAATGCTAGGGTTTTAAGAAAGAAGCCTTGGTCAAGAATGTGGCTCTCAATCTCAGATTCTGGGACCCCAGCTGTGAGCAGCAATGTCTGCACATGGAAGCAGCCCAGCTTGCATTCTGCTGGGCGGGAATCTAAAGCAATATGGCATGTGGGAAAACGATCAGGCATGCGCTGAGCTTTGAGAAGGAACTATAAACAAGCCTTGGGAACTCAAATGAGACTTGAAATGGCGGCTATGTTCCAAAGACGTGTTCTTTGAGGCTAGATGATGGGGAGTGTGGCGAATCTGAGAAAACCAAATTTTTCCTCTAGAACACAGTGTCTGCGTAGACCGAAGAGGTTGGAACGAGGGTGGCCATGAGTCAGACTGGAGAAAAACAGCTTGTCATTTGACCAAGCGCCCAGCACCACTGCCGAAGGAGAAAGGAAGCGTAGCAGATGGCATTTATATATTCTAGACTAAAATGCTGCAATGGCATATGGTTCTCCCCGCCAATATGACTTTTTGAGATATATTTCCTAATACAAGACTCAAACCTGAAGCTATTATCCAGAGAGAAATCTATAGCCCTTCAGTCAATCAGCAATAGCACAGGACGGAATTAGAGACACTGCTTACCTGTTCTGCTTTTAATGTCAGCTCAATAAATATCTGCTGGAGCTTCTCGTTCACAAAATTGATGCAAAACTGTTCGAAGCCATTTTTCTGAGGAAGGAGGAGAAGGGGGGGGAAAAAAGATTCTTTCCTGTAAGCATCTTGCAAAATCATCCCAAAGTCATTTCTAAGGGATTTACAAAAATGGTTGCATGTACAAAGCTTTCATTTTTTATGCCAATTATTGGGCATGTCCATGGCATGAAGTTCAGTGTTAACAGTGGTGCCAGTGTTCAGGCCTGCAATCCCAGATACTCAGGAGGCTGAGATCTGAGGATCCAAGTTCGAAACCAATCCTGGGCAGACAAATCTGAGAGACACTTATCTCCAAATTAACCAGTAAAATGCTGGACGTGGAGGGGTGTGCTTTAAGTGGCAAAGCAACAGCCTAGAACAAAACAAGGAAAAGCTAAGCAAGAGTGCGAGGCACTGAGTTCAAGCCTCAACAGTGGCATAAAAGAAAGGAGAGGGAAAGGGAAATGGAGAGGGAGAGAGGAATGAGAGGGAGAGAGAAGGAGAGGGAGAGAAAAGGGGAGAGGAAGGGAGGGAGGGAAAGAGGGAAGGAGAGAAAGAAAGATGAAAGCAAAAGGAAGAAGGAAAGAAGGGAGGGAGGGGGGGAGGGAGGGAAGGAAGGAGGGAAGAAGGAAAGAAGGAAGGAAGGAAAGTAGGAAGGAGGGAAGGAAGAAAGGAAGGGAGGGAGGGAGGAAGGAAGGAAGGAAGGAAGGAAAGTAGGAAGGAGGGAAGGAAGAAAGGAGGGAAGGAAGGAAGGAAGGAAGGAAGGAAGAAGGAAGGAAGGAAGGAAGGAGAAAGAACGCAGCATAATTTCTATTGCAAAGACACGAATTTGGTAATGTTAAATGAAAAACTCACAAAAGGCCAAAATAAGCCAGCTGGAGTGACTCTTTCACCATTGAGAATTCTTCCCAGCAGGCCACATGACATAGGCCACCTCCCCCTCCAGCCTGGCATGACTACAAAGCAGCCTCACCTGGAATATTTCAAAGCCATAGATGTCCAGGACGCCTATGTTATATTCTTCGTGGTCCTTCTCCATGGCTTTGTTGATGGACTAGAAGAGAGTCAAGGGTACGCCTATCAGCGCCTGCGCATTCCTTCATATGAATAACAGGCACACGGGGCGGGGGGGGGGGGGTAGAGAGGACAGGGGGGGCGGGGGGAGGGGGCACCCTTGTGATGAGCATATAAGGGGAATTGGAGCTTTCAAAGAGGTCTTGCCGGGCACCAGTGGCGCATGCCTATAATCCTAGCTACTCAGAAAGCTGAGATCTGAGGATCACAGTTCAAAACCAGCCTCAACAGAAAAATCTGGGAGATGCTCATCTTCAATATACCAGCCTGAATGGGGCTGTGACTCAAGCAGTACAGCCCCATCCTTGAGTGAAAAACTTAAGGCGAGGAAAAACAGCTCCGAGGTTGGGTTGAAGCCCAGCTAACTAGCGTGGCGTGTGCATGCACGTGAACACCGCTATAGCACAAGGTTAGGTAATGTAGAAAACCATTACAATGCAAAAAAATTAAAAAAAAGACTGTGGTAGGGGAAAAAAAATGTTTGCTTCATGATGGAAACCATTAATTTTTGGCAGAGTTAGCTTTCCTCAGGAAGCTTTGACAAGAAGAAAATAGCATTAGAAGGATCGAAGTTAAAAAGACCTCTTTTTCATGAAGAACCAATTTTACATAATTTGTAACTATCGTTTTTGTTGTTCATGATTTGGCAATTATCTAGCGATTGCCTCACGCAGTGTGTGAATGCCAAGGCCATCAGGGCCTGGGAGCTCATGCAAAATTCAAGCTGTCTGCGGATGGTAACCATGAGTATTTCTCTATGTGTGCCGATCCTGGGGCTTGAACTCAGGGCCTGAGTGCTGTTCCTTACCTTTATTTATTTATTTTGCTCAAGGTTAGCACTCTACCACCTAAGCCACAGCTCCGCTTCTGGCTTTTTGCTGGTTCATTGAAGACAAGAGTCTCATAGCCAGGTGCTGGTGGCTCACGCCTATAATCCTAGCTACTCAGGAGGCTGAGATCTGAGGATCGTGGTTCAAAGCCAGCCCGGGCAGGAAAGTCCGTGAGACTCTTATCTCCAATAAACCACTAGAAAACCGGAAGTGGCCCTGTGGCTCGAGTGGTAGAGTGCTCCCCTTGAGCTGAAGAGTGCAGGGACGGTGCCCAGGCCCAGAGTTCAAGCCCCACGACCGACCAAAAAAAATTGAAAAAAAAAAAAAAAAGAGTCTCATGGACTTTCTCCTACCTGGGCTGGCGTTTGAATTGTGATCCTTAGATCTCAGCCTCCTGAACAGTTAGGATGGCGGGCAGAAGCTGCTGACAGCCCAGCTCCATTATATTTGAATTGCTACTAGAGCAGTTTACCAGGATCTACCCTCCATGCTTGGACACTCTGGCTGGAAACTCACCAGGGATTATTGCTATGTGTGCCTATTCAGTTCTCATAATGACTAACCCTCATTTCCAGATGGATCCCTAAAATGGCACAGGGCAGGGAGGTGGTTTTGGGATTAAATGTAACCAATGGGAAGCTGAAATCCGGGTTCTTGGTTACCGAGAAAGACAACACAATTCAGTATCAGCAGGACAAGTTACAATGGGGTAAAGGAGGAAGATTAGCAAAGGAGGCAGAAGAGGGAGGAATATATCAGGGAGAAAAATTTCTAGAAGTGGTAAACTCTACGACTTTGTGAATTACCAGGAAGATTTTCCCCAAAAAAGAAAATGGTTCATCGCTAAGTAGGAAACACTTAGTGGCTGGCACATAGTATAAATGCCCAGTTTAAATGCCAGCAGAAGTGAGTATCAATCACTTTACCACAGAGAAACTGAGGCATGGGTGGCAAGAAAAGTCCTTGATGTTCAGCACTGGACAGTAACTCAACTGAGATGAGCGCTTAGGGTCTCCTCCAAGTAGGAGAGCACCAACCTTGAATGAAAAAGCTCAGGGATGGCACTCAGGCCCTGAGTTCAAGAGCCCGTACCAGCATGCACACATATACATACATACGTATGAGCAGACATGGACGGACACACACACACACACACACACACACACACACAGAGTCAAGTTCTAACTGCAAGCAGCTATATATGAGATCCATTTGTTACACAGCAATGCATGACACATACAACATTCTTAAATCTTTAGACTCCAGAAATCAAGGAAGGCCGCAGGATCATGAGTTTCCTTTTTCTGGCCACTCATCCTGGCTCTACTGAAGTGTGTAATACAGAAGGAACGTCATCATGTCAGCTTTAGCTAATGTTTCTAGTAAGCGCCGAACACAAGTAAAAGCCAGAAATGCTTAGAAGAAAAAGCTGGCTGAAAGCATCCCAGAAGATCCACAGAGGAGAGGTGGACCACTTGGGTCAGGATGGGAAGGGTTGATCTCATGCATGAAAACAAACCTTCACGAAATTTCCTCTGAAGCCTCTCCCTCCTCCTCCCCCCTCCCCTCACCCCTATCCGCTCATCAACCTACATTGACTTACATCCACCAAGAAATCAAACACGCGGGCGTGAAGGGCCTTGGCAAGCGCGTCCCGGGTGTAACAGGCCTGCTCCACGTTGAGAGTCACGTGGATGGACTCTGACTTCCCACCCCACTTGCTGTCCATCTGCCGGCTGGTCAGCTTCTCCTTCAGCCGCTCCTGGTTAATCCCCAGCAGGTAAGCCGGAAAAGCCAGAACTGCAAGAGAGAAAACACAATCGTCTTTCACAATTAGAACCCACCTCCCAAATGCATGGAGCCGTGGACGGGGCACCGTGTACATAGATAGATGGATTATGGTTAACCCCCCAATTTCTGCCCCCCCTCCAAATAAAAGTCCTATCCAGCAAAAGAGATCCTTACACATTTACCTCTTTTGTTTCCTCCTCTGAGAGAGAGAGAGAGAGAGAGAGAGAGAGAGAGAGAGAGAGCAGAGCGCTCATGTACTAGTACTGGAGCTTGAGTTTGGGGCCTGCTGCTCTTGCTTGAACATATCAACCAAGACTGGTACTTTACCACTTGAGCCATACCTCCACTTCCCATTTTTTTTACTGGTTAACTGAAGAGTCTCATGGACTTTGGTGCCTAGGCTAATTTTTTTGGTTTGGATGTTTTTTGTTTTTGTTTTCGTGCTGGTCCTAGAGCTTGAACTCAGGACCTGGGTGCTACACTTCAGCTTCTTGTTTTGTATTTTGTCTTTTTATTTTGTTGCTGTCAGGGGCTTGAACTCAGGGCCTTGGTACTGTGTCCCTCAGCTCAAGGCTAGCGCTCTACCACTTTGAGTCACCAGTGCCACTTCTGTTGGTTTCCCCCCTCCCCCTCCCCCCTCCCAGTGGTTAACTGTAAAAGTCTCACAGGCTTTCCTACTTGGGCTGGCTTTGAACTACGATCCTCAGTCCTCAGCCTCGTGAGTAGCTAGGATTACAGGCATGAGCCACAGATACTTGGCTCCCGGATTTGTTTTTTGTTTTCTTTTTAACTACATAAGCCAATTCCTATGATGATTTCCAATCACACAAATTAGCAGTCCAAGAAGGACCACTATGATGGTGGCGAAATTTCTAAAATAGACACTTCTCTGAGCTTATGGCCAGATGCCCTGGATGGAAGTCAATCAAAACACATTTCCTTGGCTTCAGATATTGTTTTCTTCCTGGGGGGTAGGATGGGGGTGCAATGTTTTCATGTTTTCAAGGACCCTGAAGCACCTGTTATCAATGAGCTGATTTGAGGATCATGGTTCGAGACCAGCCCAGGAAGGAAAGTCCATGACTCTAACTTCCAAATTATTGCCAGAAAACCAGAAGCCACACTGTGGCTCAAAGTGGTAGGAAGCTAGCCTTGAACACACACACACACACACACACACACACAGACACACACACACACACACACACACACATTCAGGGACAGCGCCCAGGCCCTGAGTTCAAGCCCAAGGGCCATCACAAAGAAAGAAACAAAATGAGGCTCATGGCCAGACAACTTGTTTGAGGACTTAATACCAAGAAGAGGGCTGTGTTAGACCTGGGGTTTTCTTGATTTCTAATCAGTGTGCTCCACTGTGAATAAATGATAGCATTCTCAGGCCTGAAAGAAAAGTTCCAGTTGTCTCAGGATGAATAAAAGACTTTTACAGATGCAAATGAAAATTATGAACTTTTTCAGCATAAAGCTTGACCAAATGTCTCTGACTGAAGGTTGTATGGAAGACTTTATGACAATACTGGGTACCAGGGTATACACAAGGTCCTCAGGAGGCAGAAATCAGGAGGATTGAGGGCTGAGACCGGTCCAAGCATTAAAAAAAAAAAGCTCACTGGGCTAGGAATGTGGCTTAGTGGTAGAGTGCTTGCCTAGCACAAATGAAGCCCTGGTTACCCCATAAACAGAAAAAGCTAGAAGTGGTGCTGTGGCTCAAGTGGTAGAGCACTTGCCTTGAGCACTGACAGGCTCAAGGACAGTGCCCAGGCCCTGAGTTCAAGCCCCAGGACCTGAAAAAAAAAAATTCATGAGACTATGTCAATCAATAAAACACTGGTGATCCTGGTGTTTGTCCAGCATGCCAACTATACCGGAAGCATATATAGGAGGATCGTTGGCCTGGATACAAAAACAACCAAGGCAAAATGGCAAGGTACCTGGCTCAAGCGGCAGAGTACTTGCCTAACAAGCACCAGGCTCTCACACGATCAAAATTAAGTTGATAAAAAAATATATAGTACTAATAACTAATATTAAAAGACAGATGCTAATGGTGAAAAAATACAAACCTCCCCGCCAAGGCTGAACTGTCAGAATGGCACAGGTGGTGTTGGGGTGTATGGAAGCTGACATTTCTCAGCCTTCAATTGCCAGAGATTCAGTTGGCGAACACAGATTGGAAAATAGTAGAATGCCAGAATAAGGAATGCGTCATTGATTTGAATGCTTCCCCAAAATACTCCGAACAAGCCGGGTGCAAGTGGCTCATGCCTGTAATCCTAGCTACTCAAGAGGCTGAGATCTGAGGATCACGGTTCGAAGTCAGCCCAGACAGGAAGTCTGTGAGACTCTGATCTACAATGAGCCACCAGAAAACTAGACGTGGAGCTGTGGCTCAAAGTGGTAGAGCGATAGCCTTGAGTAGAAAAGCTCAGAGATGGGGCCCAGGCCTTGAGTTCAAGCTACAGGACAGACATAAGGACAGACAGGGATAGACAGAAGGACACACACACACACACACACACACACACACACTACAGAAGAGACAAAGGCACAGCCCAGCCTTTCATCCTACAGAACAGGGTGGGACTTGAGGGTGGTAGATATCTCCAAAAACAAGACCTGGAATTTGGCTAGGAATCAGAGCCACAAGCTTAGCAAAACAGCCAAGCCGACTAGAGAGGAAATAAGAGTACTTGGTTTGGACAAACTCCACGCCAGGTTTTCCAAGCACAAGCTTTTTATGGCCTCGTATTTTCTTCAGTGGCCAGCCTGGTGCTGAAATTATAGGGCTGTTTCTCCTGACTTCCTTCAGGCTGGGAATTTCCATGAGGTTGTGTGAGTAAGAACAGAGGTCCCAGAAGCTTGAGGGAAGTAGAGGAGGAAAGAGAGAAGGATGGATTCTCATTGAGAGTCATGTAAAACAACAAGGAAAACCATTCCTAAAAAGGAATGCTTCAATGGAGATAGGTTCCTATTATCGCGTGAAAGTAGAAAGCAAAGTTGGGCTTGATTTTTTTTTCCCCCATTTAAATTTCAGGTGCAGGAAAGAGAGAAAAACCTCCAACGATGTGGCAAAATTCCCCCTTTGACAAATTTAAAAGGAAAATGGGGTTTCTCTGTGTTCAGGATGCACTAGTGACTCACAGCCACCAGCTACAAGCTACTGAGGACCGAGGTTCTAAGGATGGTGGTTCAAAGCCAGCCCTGGCAGGAAAGTCTCTCTTCTCCATTATAAATGTATGCCACTAAAGTCCAGCACCTGTAGCTCATGCCTTTAATCTTACTTCCTTAGGAGGCTGAGATTTGGAGGATTGTGGTATGAGGTTAGCCCCGACAGAAAGTTCATGAGATGAGCCCTCTCCCATACCATCTCTCAAAACCAAGAGCTAGGCATGTTGGCCTAGCTCTAAATCAGGTGGATTGTGGTTCATGTACATGCCTGGACAGGAAGTAAAAGCCTCTTTCAAAAACAATCTGTGCAAAAATGGGCTGCAGGTCTAGGTCATCATTACAGGGCCAGCCTAGCAAGCAAAAAGGCCCAAGTTCAAATCATAGTACCATCAAAAACAAACCACACACAAACAAAACCTATGACACATATTCACCCTAGAAAGTTCATTCAGAAGATCAAAACAATCATCTTCCTCGGCATCAGGTGATGGCTTCAATCAAACCAAGTGAAGTCAAGCGTCAGAATACTACACAGCTATCAAAAAGGATGAAGTTCCTTTCTGATCTGATACAGAATCATCTCCAGGACAATAATGTCCCACGAGAAAGCAACTATATAGAGCACTGAATTACCAACTCCCAACGCAACACAAAAATAGGGGAATTGAATGGGTGAGTGCGGTTGTTGTAATATTCTTGGAACCCTGGCTGATACTGAGGAGAGGCATGCATTGAATGCACAGGGGTGCATGGAGCGATACCCCTTTTACAGCATCAGTATAAGACCCACCCACAGAACGAAAATCCAGAACCAGATTTTGAAAAAAGAAAAGACAAGGAACATGGTCTACCCCATGTTAGACCTACTTGGCTCCTTCAGGGAGAGAATCTCAGGAGCTGCTGCCAATGCCAGACTGTGTTCATCTGACAGAGAAGGCCACAAACACCACACCTCAGGGAGGAATCAGACAACCAGACAATCACATAGCTCAAGCGGCGAGAAGCAGTAGAGGACCTTTCATTTATTGTTCTTTTGTGCAAGTCCTGGGGCTTGAACTCAGGGGCCTGGGTGCTGTCCCTGAGCTTCGTGTACTCAAGGCTTCGCGCTCTACTGCTTTTGAACCACGATCCTCAGATCTCAGCCTCTTGACTAGCTAGGATGACAGGTGTGAGCCACCGGTACTTGGTTGTAGAGGATTTTCCTACTCAAGAGGCGAGAGAAAGCCAGCGTGTTTCCTCACACACCATCACCAAACCCCACAGAGGAGGAAATGGGGGTCAAGGGGAAATGGCCTCCCAGACACCGGGGTGCATTTCTCAGGCCAAGGATAGTGTCAGCAGACACAGACTCTCATCCTAATATTCGCATTGCTCAGCTTTCTGGATAGACACCCCGTTCTTTTTAAATTATTATTATTATTGTTTTACCCTCGACTTCCTGGTAAACCCAATTCATCATAGTCAGATACCCATCAGAAGTTAGCAGAACTTCCCTCTTTTATGAGAAAAGCAAATAAAAATGCATCAAAGCCACCCTTATTTGGGATGGAAATATACTCAGTGCCCAGTCAGCAATGAGTGGGGACACTATTTATTACTCAGGAGCTAAATTTATCATCCTGGAAGAATGCTGAGAAAGGAAGAAATGCCTTCCTGGGTGGGTTCAAGCGGGCGGGGGGAGGGGGGGGAGCCTGGAAGGTCGTGGATGCCATGGTATGTGGGGCAGATCATAAGCAAAGGAAAGCAAAGGGAGTTCAAGCAAACAGCGTGGAAGCAGGACCATTTCCCAGCAGGCAGCAGCACTGGATTGCTTCCCATACCATCATGAGAGCAAAGCTCATGCAGAAATCTCAACACAGTTAACAGTCAAAGTCTCATGCAGAAATCCCAACGCACTTAACAAAGTTGACTTCTTTTTACATTCAGAAGTCAAATTCAATCCAACCTCAGGCAAACCTGGTGGCTTTCCACATCTGCCCACACTATCTAGCTATCCACACTATCTACTATTCTACCACTTTCTTTTGTTTGTTTGGTGCCCATCCTGGGGCTTGAACTCAAGGCCTTCGATGCTGATCCTGACCTTTTTTCTTTTTGCTCAAGGCTAACTAGCACTCTACCACTTGAGCCACAGCTCCACTTCCAGCTTTTAGGTGGTTCATTGGAGATCTGAGTGTCACAGACTTTCCTGCCTAGGCTGGCTTGGAACCACGATCCTCAGATCTCAGCCTCCTGAGTAGCTAGGATGACAGGCATGAGCCATTGTCTCCGGGGTATCAATTTTTAGATGAATGGAGACAAAAGCCAGAGAAGAAAAAAGTTGCATTAAATGACTCAGCTTTTCACTTCACCACAAATCTAAGAAAAGACATTCATGTATGTCTTTTTTTTTTTTTTTTGAGGAACTTCCATAATCATGCGTATCTTTAAACCTGGATGTGAAACTCTCAGACTTCTGCAAGATTAGTAACAAATTGAAATGATTTCATAGGGTGTGGCTCAAGTGGTAGAGCACTTACAGAGTAAGTGTGATGCCCTGAGTTCAAACTCTGCCATGGTTAATAAGGGGGGAAAAGGTATTTTACAAAAAAATAGAAAGAAAGAAAGAAAGAAAGAAAAAAAGAAAGAAAGAAAGAAAGGAAGAAAGGAAGGAAGGAAGGAAGGAAAGAAAGAAAGAAAGAAAGAAAGAAAGAGAGGCTGGGAAGGTGGCTCAGTGGTAGAGCGCTTGCCTTGCATGTATGAGGCCCTGGGTTCGATTCCTCAGCACCACATAAGCAAAAAGAAAAAAGCTGGAAGTGGCGTTGTGGCTCAAGTGGTAGAGCGCTAGCCTTGAGCTGAAGAGCTGAGGGACAGCGCCCAGGCCCAGAGTTCAGGCCCCACGACTGGACCCAAAAAAAAAAAAAAGGAAGAAAGGAAGAAAGAAAGAAAGAAAGAAAGAAAGAAAGAAAGAAAGAAAGAAAGAAAGAAAGAAAGAAAGAAAGAAAGAAAGAAAGAAAGGAAAGAAAGAAAGAAAGAGAAAGCAAGCAAGCAAGCAAGCAAGCAAGCTAGGCACCAGTGGCTCGTGCCTGTAATCGTAACTACTCAGGAGGCTGAGATCTGAGGATCACAGTTTGAAGCTAGCCTGGTCAGGGAAGTTCATGAGACTCTTATCTCCAATTAACCACTGAGTTAAGTGGACCTACAGCCCAAGTGGTAGAGTGCTACCCTTGAACACAAAATCTCAGGGACAATGCGTAGGCCCTGAGTTCAAGTCCCAAGACTGGCACACATACAAAAAAGCAATGCTTTTATTAATCATCTATAATGTGGGACATACAGATGCTGGAAGTGAGGAGAGGAAGGTAAAGGTTGAGTCTTTCTGATGCTCATTATAAAAACATTTGTCACCTTGTGTGTATGGGGGTGGGGGGTTGGGGGTAATCCTGGGGCTTGGATTTAGGGCCTGAGCACTGTCCTTGAGCAACTTCTGGTTTTCTGGTGGTTCATTGGAGATTAGAGTCTCAAGGACTTTTTTTTTTTGCCTGGGCTGGTCTTGAACCATGATCCTCAGATCTCAGTCTCCTCGGTAGTCACGATGATAGGCGTGAGCCACTGGCACCTGGATCATTTGTCATCCTTTTGCAGAGAGATATACCCTAGGTGGGATTGGGCTGAAGCAGCGATCTAGGTAGCTGTAAGCAGAACCGAGCACCCCCCACCCCATTCACCCCCCCCCCCCCACTACTCAGCCATATGGCCGAGCAGCCCATACGTACATTCTTCACTCTCCACCGCCGCGTAGTTCCCCACTTCTTTGAAGCTGACATTCCCCAGGTGGAGGACGCCGGCCACGATCTGCAGCACCAGCGTCTGCTCTTCTGCGAAGATGCCGATGACGTTCATGGCGTGCTAAGTGGAAGAAGCAGTCAGACGCATCATCATGGACCGGGTCGCATTAGAGAGTCACATCTCTGTCAATGTGCTTACTGCCCAATGCACTCACATCCATCCTGGAAAAGTTGGGCTGACATTCCATACAACCTAGGTGCCCCTCGGAGTGCCTGGAAGGTTCTATGAGCAGCTACAGTTGTGGACAAGCCTCCACATCTGTGCCACGGAGACCTCTGCTTGCAAAGTCACCTCTCTGGCTACGAATGTGGCTTAGTGGTAGAGTGCTGGCCTTGCATGCAGGAAGCCCTGGGTTCAATTCCTCAGCACCACATAAAAAGAAAAAGCTGGAAGTGGCACTGTAGCTCAAGTGGTAGAGTGCTAGCCTTGAGCAAAAGAAGCTCAGTGACAGTGTTCAGGCCCTGAGTTCAAGCCCCAGGACCAGAAGAAAGAAAGAAAGAAGAAAAGAAGGAAGGAAGAAAAGAAGCAAAGAAGGAAGGAAGAAAAGAAGGAAAGAAGGAAGAAAAGAAGGAAAGAAGGAAGGAAGAAAAGAAGGAAAGAAAGAAAGAAGAAGGAAGGAAGAAAAGAAGGAAGGAAGAAAAGAAGGAAAGAAGGAAGAAAGAAAAGAAGGAAAGAAAGAAGGAAGGAAGGAAGGAAAGAAGGAAAGGAAGGAGGGAAGGAAGGAAGGAGGGAAGGAGGGAAGGAGGGAGGGGTGAGGGAGAGAAAGAAAGGAGGGAGGGAGGGAGGGAAAGAAGGGAGGAAGGAAAAGGAAGGAAAGAAGGAAGGAAGAAAGGAAGGAAGGAAGGAAGGAGGGAGGGAAGGAGGGAGGGAAGGAGGGAAGGGTGAGGGAGAGAAGGGAGGGAGGGAGGGAGGGAAAGAAGGGAGGAAGGAAAAGGAAGGAAAGAAGGAAGGAAGGAAGGAAGGAAGAAAGGAAGGAAGGAAGGAAGGAGGGAGGGAAGGAGGGAGGGAAGGAGGGAGGGGTGAGGGAGAGAAAGAAGGGAGGGAGGGAGGGAGGGAAAGAAGGGAGGAAAGAAAAGGAAGGAAAGAAGGAAGGATGGAAGGAAGGAAGGAAGGAAGGAAGGAAGGAAGGAAGGAAGGAAGAAAGGAAGGAAGGAAGGAAGGAGGGAGGGAAGGAGGGAGGGGTGAGGGAGAGAAAGAAGGGAGGGAGGGAGGGAGGGAAAGAAGGGAGGAAAGAAAAGGAAGGAAAGAAGGAAGGAAGGAAGGAAGGAAGGAAGGAAGGAAGGAAGGAAGGAAGGAAGGAAGGAAGAAAGGAAGGAAGGAAGGAAGGAGGGAGGGAAGGAGGGAGGGGTGAGGGAGAGAAAGAAGGGAGGGAGGGAGGGAGGGAAAGAAGGGAGGAAAGAAAAGGAAGGAAAGAAGGAAGGATGGAAGGAAGGAAGGAAGGAAGGAAGGAAGGAAGGAGGGAGGGAAGGAGGGAGGGGTGAGGGAGAGAAAGAAGGGAGGGAGGGAGGGAGGGAAAGAAGGGAGGAAAGAAAAGGAAGGAAAGAAGGAAGGAAGGAAGGAAAGAAGGAAGGAAGGAAGGAAGGAAGGAAGGAAGGAGTGCTTGGTGGGGCATGTCATGTGCACTTACCAGAGTTTCCTGGAGCTCTCGCTTGTCATCGATGTCATCAACCTTGTAGGACCCGGACAGGCTCAGGTAATAATAGTAGTCCATGCTGGTGATGCCCAGGCTGTGCTTCTGCTCGGCAGAGGCGCCCTCGATGAGCTGTGGCAAGACAGCAAAGTTCAGGGAGGCCCAGGGTGTGGCCCGCCAAGGACTCAGCCAGCTCTCTATGTGAGTGGGCCTTGTCTCCAAAACACGAGGGGGTGCTGAGTTCTTCTGGATATAATCCCAAACCACCTCTGCAAATTGTTCTGTTCTACTCCTTTCTTCTATTCCTTTTTGGTATTCTGTTCATTTATTCCATTCTGTTCTATCCTATTCTGTTCCATTCCATTCCATTCCATCTATTCTATTATTTATTCAATTTCTATTCATTCATCCTAATCATTCATTTTTTTCTATTCTATTCTATTCCATCCTATTTCTTTTTCTATTCATTTATTCTATTTGTATTCATTCTACTCTAATCACTCTATGTATTTTTCTATTCCATTTCTAGTCGTTTATTCTATCTCTATTCATTCTATTCTAATCATTGCTAGTCTAATCATTCTATACATTTTTTTCTATTCTATTCTGCCCATTCCCTTCTATATTCCTATTCATTTCTATTGTATTCATTCTATTCTAGTCATTTTGTTCTATTCATTTTTGTATCCTATTCATTTTTCTTATTCAATATATGCATATATACATATATATGTATTTATCAAACCCTGAGTTACCAAATCCAGGTCCTTGTACTTGCTACTAATCAATTTATTGAACTCAGAGTCTTGTGTATGCTATTTATTTATTTACTTGTTGGAAGCACTAGGGTTTGAACTAAGAGGCTCATACTTCCTAGGCAAGGGCTATATCACTTAAGCCTTACCCCAGCCTTTGCTTCACATATCTTCAGAATCAGATCTTATGTTTTTCTCTTGGTCTGGTGTGGACCATGATTCTCCTACCTACTGATTCCCACCACAGGCTAAGACAGATCATAGATGTGCACCACCAGACTTGGATCAGAGATGTGAGCCACTGTGCTCTATCATGGCTCTGTAAATTTTTTTTTTTTTTTTTTTTTTGGTCAGTTGTGGGGCCTGAACTCTGGGTCTGGGCGCTGTCCCTCAGCTTTTCAGCTCAAGGCTAGCGCTCTACTACTTGAGCCACAGCGCCACTTCCAGTTGTCTGGCTTACTGGAGATAAGAGTCTCACAGATTTTCCTGCCTGGGCTGGCTTTGAACCGCGATCCTCAGATCTCAGCCTCCTGAGTAGTTAGGATTATAGGTCTGAGTCACTCACTGGTGCCTGGCTAAATTCTTTTTTTTTTCTCTTCTTTTGCCAGTCCTGGGGCTTGAACTCAGGGCCTGAGCACTGTCCCTGAGCTACTTTTGCTCAAGGCTAGCACTCTACCACTTGTGTTTCTGTAAATTCTAATTCTTTTTTTTTTTGGCCGGGGGGGGGGGGCTGTCGTGGGGCCTGAACTCTGGGCCTGGGCGCTGTCCCTCAGCTCTTCAGCTCAAGGCTAGCACTCTACCGTTGAGCCACAGCACCACTGCCAGCTTTTTTCCTTTTTGCTTATGTGGTGCTGAGGAATCGAACCCAGGGCCTCATGCATGCAAGGCAAGCGCTGTACCACTGAGTCACCTTCCCAGCCCTAAATTCTAATTCTTAGCACTGGTTATCATTAAATTATAACCAAATAATTCCCGCCTAACTTGTTTTTGACTCTGTGTGTGTTCAAAGGATTTTAAGAAAAAGTGTGTATGTCAGGGGTAGGGATTGAACCCAGGTCCTTATGCATGCTAGGCAAGTGCTCTACTACTGAGCTATATTGCCAGCTTCACTTAGGGTTTTTCAAAAGGGTTTTTCAAAGTAGAACTGGCTCCTCTACTCTCCTAACCCCACAGTGCATATTTTAAAACTGCCATAGATCTGTTTCTTTTAGATCCTCCTCATCCACTGCTGTCTCTTGATGCCTACTCCATGTCTGGACGAGACGATCTTAAAGGGCTCCAACCATTTAACAATCAATTCTTGGAAGGGCAAGAAATTAATTCGCAGTGTTTTGTCAATATGCATGGCAGACATTCTGTCAGCAGGATGGATTTTAAACTTGCAAAGAACTATCACAGAAGGAAGACGTGGGGAGAGACAGCCGTGGCCCATCAGAGACACAACGGGCATGCCGTGTGCCAACCCCACAATATTTACAAAAGAGAGGCTGTGTTCTGGTCCAGGCTTCATCTGTGTGAACCTCCTCCTGCTACCAGGGCTGAATCAAGCTGGGTACCAGTGGCTACCGCCTATAATCCAAGCTATTCAGGAGGCTGAAGATCATAGAGATATGAGGATCCAGCCTGGGCAGGAAAGTCCATGAGGCTTTTATCTCTAATTAACCACCAAAGAGCCAGAAATGGAGCTGTGGCTCAAGTGGTTAAAACCCTGTCCTTGAGCAGTAAAGCTCAGGGACAGCAGCCAGACCCTGAGTTCAAGTCCTAGGACTGGCACAAAATCAACATAAAATAAAATTCACAAAGCTGGATCATGTGATTACTGAACCCCAGAATGCTATTTTATCAGCATCCTGCACCCTTCTCTGGGGTCCCAGTGACAAGTGGCCAAGGAGGCATTCAGGATGTCTCAGTACCTAACAGCTTCCTTGTTGGAGACATTGGCATTGCCAACTGGCTGAGTCCTGGCTTACAGAATAGCTTTGGGTCTGGTTATCCAACTTCCCTGATGACTGCCCCTTCTACTCCATACCCAGGGCCGTCCCTGCTCAGCACAGGCCTTTCCTCATTCCCCCACCCCTGGTGAATTCCCATCTGGCCATGAATCAAACACTCTGACTTTTATTTTGAAAGGACACCGACCCTTCCTGAATTATTGTAACTTTATTCAAAGGAGACTCTGCTTTGTCTCTTCTCTAGCCATCAGCAGTCTAAGCCAGAGGACTGAGAAGAATAAAAGGAAAAAAAGATTCTTTTTTAACATGGAAAGGGGGGGGTTAGGAAAAAAAATTAAAAAAAAAAAAATAGAAACCTGGTAAAAGATGTGGAAACTTCTCTCGCCAGGGTTCCTCATGACCACTCTGGATTTTTCTAGAAGGAAGTTGGAGATCTTTCCGCCATCTGGTTCCCCACCTGGGCTGAACTGGATTTCAAAGTATTTCCCCTGCAAGCAAGGTAAGGATGTCCTGTGAGGGTCAGTAAACACAGCCCGCAGGCTCGGGATGCTGCACATAATACAAGGAAATTCGTGCATGAGAGCCAAGTCCGGAACCCATGCCCAACTCTGGGCTATACTTCCCCCAGGCCTTCATCTCAAACAATCACCAGAGCTGTGTGGTCCACTCCCACAGTTCTGTATTCAGAATGGGAAATCTAGGGTCCCGGCCAGACTAAATAAGGTATATGGGAGATGCTGGGCCCATTTTCTTCCCATGGAAGGCAGAGAAAATGAACCAGGAAACCCTAGGTCACAAGCAGTGAACTCTAACTAATGGAAGCAAGTTTTTCCCTCTGTGCACTTCAATGCTTTGAGCAAAATTAGCCTAAAGGCTGTCCATCCCTTTTACCCCAAAACTGCTGGCACACACACTGAAATAAAAATACTTTATTATAAGTAAACTCTATAAGTTATTCCCCTCTTGCTCACATTCTGCCTGTGTGTGTCTTCAAGATTGAACTTAGGGCCTGGGCACTGATCTTGAGTTTTTGTGCTCAAGGCTGGTGCTCTACCACTTGAGCCATAGCCCCACCTCTGACTTTCTGGTGATTAACTAGAGACAAGAAGATAGACTCTTCATAGACCTTTCTGCCCAGGCTGGCTTCAAACTGTGAGCCTCTGGATTTCAGCCTCCTGAGTAGCTAGGATTACAGGTGCTGTTCTCAACTTTTTGAAATAATTGCCTGTCTAAGAGGTAGAAAATAATGTCTGGTTTGACATGCACATTTGTCTCGGTATAGGTGAAGGCGTATTTTGGTGCCTTCAGAGGTGGCTGGTGAGGGGGAGGGAGGGGGAATATGGGGAGGGAGGGAGATGAAGATACATGTGTGCAAACGGCCTGCCTCATTAGTTCTTGGGTCCATCTGTCTGTCCATCATGGGGGTATGAAGCTTTATAATCACATAAATAATACATGCTGGGCTTTTGCTATTTATAAAAATCGACTGAAGGGCTGGGAAGGTGGCTCAGTGGTAGAGCACTTGCCTTGCATGCCTGAGGCCCTGGGTTCAATTCCTCAGCACCACATAAGAAAAAAAGCCGGAAGTGGCGCTGTGGCTCAAGTGGTAGAGTGCTAGCCTTGAGCTGAAGAGCTGAGGGACAGCGCCCAGGCCCAGAGTTCAGGCCCCACAACCAGACCAAAAAAAAAAAAAAAAAAAATCGACTGAAGCCCCCTCCAAAGAAAAACAACAATTGATAGTGGGGAAAAAAAATCAAATAAAAATAATAATGATTTTTTTTTTTTGCCCTGATCTCTAAGGCAGGTGGGTGGGGTTGGCTGGCTAGAAAGTTAGACTTTTACAAGGCAGATTTAGATTAATGACTGGTGGGGGCGGGGGAGAGATTGGACAAACTATGTTTGCCTCCCTCTCTCTCTCTATTACCTAGGAACTACAAGATTAAACAAGTCCAGCATTGAGCTTAAAAAAAAAACCAACTGAGCACCAGTGGCTCACACCTTAATCCTAGCTACTGGGAAGGCTGAGACCTAAAGATCATGGTTCGAATCCAGCCCAGGCAGGATCATCTGTGAGACTCTTATCTCTAATAAATTACTTAAAAAAGCCAGCAATGGAGCTGTGGCTCAAGTGGTAGAGCACTAGCCTTGAGCAAAAGAAGCTCAGGGACAGTGCCCAGGCCCAGATTTCAAACTTCAGGACCAGGAAAAAAAAAAAAAAGAGCCCAGTACTGGTGGCTCACGCCTTTAATCCTAGCTACTCAGAAGGCTGAAATCTGAGGATCATGGTTTGAAGCCAGATTGTGCTCTTATCTCTAAATAACCACCAAAATGCCGGAAGTAGAGCTGTGGCTCAGGTGGTAGAGTGCTAGCCTTGAGTATATAAGCTCAGGGACAACATGCAAGGCCCTGAATTCAAGCCGCAGGACTGGCATTTAAAAAAAAAAAAAAGAGTGATAAAGGAACAAGTAGATGAGTTAGGAGCAGGCCACAAGGACCAAGCTGATGAGCCTAATGGATGGAAGGCATGAGGCAATGGGACGGTGGCTGCACGGTACAAATTAGCTAGGGAGATTTCTTTTGGAAACAGAAACTTCTTTGCAAAATAGAGCATGAAAAGGAAATGGGTTTTCTCTGAAATTTCCAACTGCTTATTTCCCATACAGCCCAGAATCGGCCTCCTGAGTGGCTGCTGGTCTGTTTTAGTGCTGGACCTGATAAATAAGTACAATAAAAAATGCTTGATTCATGCAAATCAAGGCTTACTGGGGAAGCAGAGGTTTCTTTGTAAATCTGGACCAGCTTGGAACACAATCCTCCTATTTACATTTGTTACCACAGTGGAGATGACAAATGTGTGTCATCATGCCCAGTTACTGACCAAGATGGGGGCTGAGGAATTTTTATGCTTGGGCTGCCCTTGAACTGTGATCCCTCATGATGGACAGAAGAGGTGATTATTTTTTATAAGCCTAGGCCATTTAAGGGGAACTTTGGAACCCCAGTCACTTTTGTTTTTTTGGTTGGTCATGGGGCTTGAACTCAAGGCCTAGCCTCTGTCCTTCAGCTTTTTTGCTCAAGGCTAGAGCTTTACCACTTTGAACCACAGCACCAATTCTGGTTTTTGAGCCGTTAATTGGAAATCAGAGTCTCATGGAGACTTTCCTGCCTGGGCTGGCTTCAAACCACGATCCTCAGATCTCAGCCTCCTGAGTAGCTAGGATTACAGGCGTGAGCCACCAGTGGCCAGCTAAAATTACGTTGATTGCATTGCTGAGTGTTAAAATTAAACTTCAGCCCCAGGACAAGCCAAAGGCAAACACGAGAGCTCGCTGCTTTACAAGCTAAAGGGCAGTCTGGGGAGCTAGCCCCGGAGAACACAGGAGAACCTCAAGTTCTTTTATGGTTAACTGGGGACCTCAACCTGGGGGGATCGGGAGGCTCAGAGGCCAGGGGGAAGAGACATACAAAGCGGCTGGAGTTGTTGTTGCGGACTGTCTTGGCGTTTCCGAAGGCCTCAAGCAGCGGGTTAGACTGTAAGATGATGTCCTTCACGTGCTGTGGGAGAGAAAAGACACACACACACACACACACACACACACACACACACACACGGTCAGCAAAGGGCAGCCCACTTTTCCCTAAGCTCCTGGCTCCGCCAGGCCTCTGGGGTAGAGGTCCCTGCTCCCTGTGTCCCTGAAGATTTCTTCAGAATGTCACCTTCTAAAGTCACAGGCCTCCCTCACCCTGCTTGAGTGTCCTGGCTTGATCCAGAATGCCAGAGCAAAAAAATCAGAATCAACCAAGCCTCCCGGATACTCGGTCCATGCTACTGATTACACCCTTTCCAATATCAATGTGGGCTGGAGTGGGTGAGGGGAGAGGTTACAACAGGAAGGAAACTGGGACACACAGGGACATCTCTTTGCCTTGTTTTTCCTTCTCTCCCCCCATTGGTGGTACTGGAGTTTGAACTCAGACCTTCATGCTTGCGAAGCAGGTGCTCTACCTCCTAAGCCATGCCTCCAGCCCTGTTTTTGCTTTCATTATTTTGTTTCCAGATAAGAGTCTCACGTTGTTTGGCCCTGACTCACCTGGATTGAGATTCCTGTCCCCAGCCTAGCTGGGTTAAAGGCTCATGCCACCATGCCTCGCTTGTTGACTGAGATAGAAGCTCCTTAACTTTTCTCAGGGCTTCCTATGCTGCTCAGGTAGTTGGGATTACAAGCATGTACCACAGTACCTGGCCACTTCCTTGTGGTTCTTCCCAGAGATTTTCTAATCACTGCCCTTCCCAACTACTTTATCTGCTCCAGTACAAGCAAAAGATTTCAAGGGAAATGCATCCATTTCTCCTCAAATGATTTTATGGAAATATAATCTGGCATTTTTCTTTCTTTTTAAAAAGATTTTTTTGGTCGGTCGTGGGGCCTAAACTCTGGGCCTGGGCGCTGTCCCTCAGCTCTTCAGCTCAAGGCTAGTGCTCTACCACTTGAGCCACAGTACCAGTTCTGGCTTTCTCTGCTTATGTGGTGCTGAGGAATCGAATCCAGGGACTCATGCATTCAAGGCAAAGCCCTCTACCACGGAGCCACCTTCCCAGCCCTAATCTGGCATTTTTCAAATTTATCTAGGCCCAACTCATCTGGGGATTGTGTTAAAACACAGATGTGTTTTTCTGGGTTTTGTTTTGTTGTTGTTGTTTGTGCCAAATCTGGGGCTTGAACTTGGGGCCTCAGATTCTTACTTGACTTTTTTTCTCAAGGCTAGCGCTCTACCACTTGAGCCACAGTTCTACTTCCAGATTTTTGCTGGTACATTGAAGATAAGAATCTCACAGACATTACCACCCTGGCTGGCTTCAAACTGCAATCCTCAGATCTTAGCCTCCCAAGTAGCTAGGATAACAGGCATGAGCTACCAGTACTGGGTTTATGTACTTTGAATCAGCAACTCTCTTCATTCCTCTGACAAGTATACTGTCATGTTTGATGACAAGACATTTCACGTCCTTTATTATGAGCTGTCTTTCATATCCTCTATTTCCCTTTTGTACTTTTTTGTTGTCACTCATGAGACTTGAACTCAGGGCCTAAGTGCTGTTTCTGAGCTGTTTTTGCTCAAGCTGTTTTTGCTAATACTCTGTGGCTTTGAGCCACAGCTCCACTTCCAGTTTTTTTTTTTTCTCTAGTTTTTAGTTGGTTAATTAGAGATAAGAGTCTCACAGACTTTTCCTGCTTAGGCTGGCTTTGAACCGTGATCCTCACATTTCAACCTCCTGATTAGCCAGCACCCAGCAGCCCTCCTTTTGTTGATTTGTAGGAACTCATTATATATGAGGTATGCCTAGCTCAAAACACCCTATTCCTTTGCAGATTCTGCGGTTCTTGGTTGCTGCCCTTTGTACAGTGGATAGAAAATCCGGGGTGACTGCTGGCTCACCTGGACCTTGGGGCCCCCTCCAGACACCCTGGAGACGTAGCTCATGATGTATTTGGCAGCCACTGTCTTCCCGGCACCGCTCTCTCCACTGGGGAAAGAAGGGGGAAAATGGCCATTAGGCAAGTGACCAGGTCCTCTTCATCCCCTGGACCAAGCAACCCACAGCAACACGCAGACAGAAAGCAGGCAAGGAGGCGGGGGAGCGGCTGGGAAAGGCAGCTGGGAGGGAGGCAGGAGGTCCTGCTGGAGCTGGAGGGGCGATGAGCGCAGGGCACCCCCCTGCAGGGCACAGCACACCCAGCGATGCCCGAATAACCATGGGAGGGGGCAGCACGTCATGGCCAGAGGGTGGATATACACAGAAAAATGGCTGCGGTTCAACTGTCTACAAAACATGGGAGTATCTTGAAAGCGAAAAATGGCTGCGGTTCAACTGTCTACAAAACATGGGAGTATCTTGAAAGCGCTTGCTTGGAATACACAAAATCCTGGGGGTTCCATGTCCTAAGGTTGGGTAGGGAGGGAGGGACGTAGGTAGGGGGAAAGAGAGGGAGGGAGGGAGGGAGGGAGATGGGGGAGGGATGGAGGTAGGGGAGGGAGGGAGGGAAGGGAGGGAGGGAGGGAGGGAGGGAGGGAAGGAGGGAGGGAAGCGTGAGGGAGAGAAAGAAGGGAGGAAGGAAGGAAGGAAGGAAGGAAGGAAGGAAAGAAGGAAGGAAGGAAAGAAGGAAGGAAGGAAGGAAGGAAGGAGGGAGGGAGGGAGGGAGGGAAGGAAGGAGAGAAAGAGGGAGGGAGGAGGAAGGGGAGGTAAGGGAAGAGAAGGAGGGAGAAGAGAGAAAATGAAAGGAAAGGAAAATAAAGAGAAAGGGGAAGAGGGAAGGAGGAAGGGAGAAGGGAAGGAAGAATGAAAGAAAGGAGGGAGGGAGAAAAGGAGAGAGCAAGGGAAAGGAAAGAACTGTGAGGGGAAATTGTCTGGAGCTCTTCACTGAAAGTATTGGTGGAGATTTGGATCGATGTAAGGAAGCCAAAGAAACTTGGGTTCCATATTTACCAAACTTTGAGTACTATTCTATTACTTGGGGTGGGGGTGGGGGATAAGAGGGGAGGGGGAGGGGAGCCTCTCTGAGGTTACACTGTGCCCCCTGAGCAATGCACACTTCCTTCTATTGGCAGTTCTAAAATTAAACGCTGAGGCAGTCGGCATTAATCACATCCTGAGAACGAAGCTGCTTTCCTCTTACCAGTAATGGCACAGGACCAGCCGTGTGTGTGTGTGTGTGTGTGTGTGTGTGTGTGTGTGTGTGTGTGTGTGTGTGTGTGTGCGCGCGCGTGCGTGTGTGTGTGCACGGGTGCTTCTGTGCCAGTCCTAGGGCTTGAACTCAGGGTCTGGGTGCTGTTCTTGAGCTTTGTGCTCCAGGCTAGTACTCTACCACAGCTTTACTTCCAGCTTTTTGCTAGTTAAGTGGAGATAAGAGTCTCACTGGCTTTCCTGCCCCAGCAGGCTTTGAATTGCAATCCTCAGAGATCAGCCTCCTGAGTAGCTCTGGATTACAGGTGTGAGCCACCAGTGCCTGGCAAGGATTAGTCTTTTTAAAAAAGAGTCTACTATTTGGGGGCAGGGGGAGAGGGGGGAGGAAGATGGGAAGGGATGGGAAGAGGAAACAAAGGAGGAGGCAACAACGCTTGATAAGAAATGTAATTATCGGGCTGGGAAGGTGGCTCAGTGGTAGAGCGTTTGCCTTGCATGCATGAGGCCATGGGTTCAATTCTTCAGCACCACATAAGCAAAAAGAAAAAAAGCCAGAAGTGGTGCTGTGGCTCAAGTGGTAGAGCGCTAGCCTTGAGCTGAAGAGCTGAGGGACAGCACCCAGGCCCAGAGTTCAGACCCCACGACCGGACCCAAAAAAAAAAATAAATAAATGTAATTATCTTTCCCATGTAATTGTAACCCCTCTGTATGGTATTTTCACAATTAAAAAAAAAAAAGAGTCTACTTTTCAAAATTCTAGTCTTCTAATAAGAACCTCAATTCAGACAATGCTCAATCCAGGCAGAGTTCTGGATTCTCTGTTGGTACCATTTAGGGATCATCTCATGGAAAATAATAGACATTCAAAGTTAAAACAGTAGCTGTCTGCTAGTTCACAGGACCATGTATTTGCTAGTTCTGGTTGATCAAGAATTTTGGGCAAGCTGGGTGCTTCTGCTTCATGCCTGTAATCCTAGCTACTCAGGAGGCTGAGATCTGAGGATTATGGTTCAAAGCAGCCCAAGCAGGAATCTTCATGAGACTTGTATCTCCAATTAACCACCAAAAAGGTTGAAGTAAAGCTATGGCTTAAGTGGTAGAGCACTATCCTTGAACACCAAAGCTCAGGGACAGCACCGAGGCCCTGAGTTCAAGCTCCAGGATTGGCACACACATACGCATACACATACACAGACACAGACACAGACACACACACACACACACACACACACACAGCACACACACACAGAATTTTAGCCAGGTACTGGTGGCTCACTCCTGTAATCCTAGCTACTCAGGAAGCTGAGATCTGAGGATCATGGTTCAAAGCTAGCACGTGCAGAAAATTCCACGAGACTCTTATCCTCTTTCAACCACCAGAAAACCAGAAATGGAGCTATGGCTCAAAGTGGTAGAGCACTAGCCTCAAGCAAAACAGCTCAGGAATACCACCCAGGAACTGAGCTCAAACCCCACAGCCAACAATTAAAAAAAAAAGAATTTTGAGGGCACAGAGGCACATGAACAGAAGACAATCAAATAAGGGGACACCCCCACACACACACAAAAGGAAGCTGAGACCAATGTTGAAATCATTGGGCTTTTCAAGCCAACCCAAAATTAAACTCGCCATTTGGCAAACTTCTAGTTGTGTTGGATGTCCTTGAACTGCTATGTGATGTTAAGAGAGACTGGGGGTACAGGTGGGGGGCCTGGCCCAGGGACTGGAGTCTCTTAGGCTCAGCATCCCTCTATGCTGTGCAGCCTGGGCCTGAACTCCTGCCGTACAGGTTGGACTTCCTCAACTAAGAAACCAAATGGAAAGGCCTTAAGATACAAGGCAAGTAGATACCCAGTGGGACTGGACGAGGAGACCCCATGTCTCCAGGAAATGTGCCCATCCTCAGGCTCAAGTTAGCTCAACTCCATGAGATGAAGACAATGGTGATCATGAGGATTTGAACTCAGGGACTTGCACTTGCAGGCAGGTGCTCTACCACTTGAGCCACACCCCCAGTCACTTTTTTGCTTTACTTTTCCAAATAGGCAGCCTCCTTTTTTGTTGTTGTTGTTCTGATTGGTCTTTCATCTCGATCTTTCTACCTACACCTCCTTTATAGTTGGGATTACAGGTGTGCTCTACCACACCCTTCCCCAAATTATCTTTGTAAATGGTCAGCATAATCAGATAATTTATACACTAGATCCAAGGTGACTAGATTGTTGATAAAACTTAACAAGTCTAAGTCCATTTTATAAGGTGTATTCAAGAACTTCACAAAATCAGTACAGTGGAGTTGTGTAACCACCCAATGAAACAGGAAAGACATTTAAAACAATACAAGGACTATGAAGTGGCTATTTCAACAAAACACAATGTATCTATAACATGCTTGTAACTATGTATAGAAAGATAATGTCAGAAAAAGATATTAAAGGGAACAAGGAAAAAGATCTATCTCTACCTTGTTAGGACAATTTATTATATAGAAGATTCTTTTTACTTTATTATTTTGTGTGTTTGCAGGTATTGGGGCTTGAACTCAAGGTCTGAACATTTTCCTTTAGTTTTTTTATTCAAGGCCAGTACTCTACCACTTTGGCCACAGCTCCATGTCTAGCTTTTTGCTCGTTAATTGGAGATAAGAATCCCACACATGTTCTTGCTAAAGCTGATTTCGAACAAACAGATTAACAGCCTTATCATGGGAGTCAACGTGACTAGAATTATTAGACAATGAGAAAACTCATCAAAGAATATTCTGGCTGGGTACTAGTGGCTCAGGCCTGTAATCCTAGCTACTTAGGAGGCTGAGATCTGAGGATTGTGGTTTGAAGCCAAACTGAAGCCCATGAATCTTTTTTTTTTTTTTTTGGTCCGGTTGTGGAGCCTGAACTCTGGGCCTGGGCACTGTCCCTCAGCTCTTCAGCTCAAGGCTAGCGCTCTACCACTTGAGCCATAGCGCCACTTCCGGCTTTTTTCTTTTTGCTTATGTGGTGCTGAGGAATCAAACCCAGGGCCTCAGGCATGCAAGGCAAGCACTCTACCACTGAGCCACCTTCCCAGCCCCAAGCCCATGAATCTTTTATCTCCAATTAACTGCCAGAAAAGCCAGCAGTGAAGGTGTGACCCCAGTGATAGAGCACTAGACTTAAGCAAAAAAGAACAAGGACAGCGTCCAGGCCCTGAGTTCAAGCCCCAATACTGACCATGTATGCACACACACACACATATACACAAACATATTACCACATACGTATTTCCTTATTAACCACTCTTTAGTCACAAACCGTTTTTCTGCCAATAGATAACATCATGATGGAATAAATAACAGCATTTGTAGGCCACACAAGATTATTAATACAGGTGATGGTGCCTGTCATCCTTAGCGACACAGGAAGCTGAGATCTGAGAGTCATGGAGGGAAGCCAGCCAAGGCAGAAATATCTGAGACTCTTATCTCCAATTAGCCACCCAAAAAAGCCAGAAGTGGAGCTGTAGCTCAAGTGGTAGAGCACTAGCCTTGAGTGAATAAATTTCAAGGATAACGCCCAGGCCCTAAGTTCAAGTTTCAGGACTGGCACCATAAAAATTAATTCATTAATTAATTACAATAAAAGCACTACAAGATCCTTAAAAGTGAACTTTAAATAACAATGTGGAAACATGACTCAATTTCCCTGACAATATTTACTTAGAACTATCCTCTCCTACTCCCTCCCCCCCCCCCCCCCCCCCCCCCCCCCCCCGCCGAAAGACTTAGCTGGGGGCAGAGAGCATTTTGGAAGAGTGATCAGTGATCTCTGAATACCACAGTCCCTTAAAATGAACTAGTGAAGCCCCTTAGAGAAAGGGCTGATGAAGTCTCAAACAAGAACTATCCGAAAATGACCTAGGAACATCTTAAATAAGATCTCCAGGGAACTACTATAGACCCATCCAAAGGACCATTAGCCAAGACAAGAGCAAATTCAAGCCCCACGCACACAAGCACACACACACACACACACACACACTCCTTATCACAAGCTAGTTCAATAGGTAAGACATTTAAAATTCACTAGTTTGAGATAATAGTGACAATAAAAACACAGTACCTAGAGAGGTTGCTAGAACAACAACTCATTGCTTTGAAATGTGAGAGGTAATGACAATGAATCACAAATGCTTATCCTCACCAAAATGGTATTTTACGGTGGCAAAAGAGCTCCACCTAACATGCGTAGAACAAAGCATAGCATTAGAAAGTAATGATTGTTGGGTGGTTTTTTTTTTTTCCTAGCCTTTAATTAAGGAAGAGCCATGGAATGAAAATTTAGACTAGGTGAGTCCACCAGCATTCAGTTCACAGCGTAACTGACAAGGGTTTTGGCTTAAAAATTGAATGTGAATTTGCCATTTACAGGAAGCAAAGGGAACAGAGAAAACTTAAGCTTCATCATGGGGTACAGTGCCAGACTGTAGAAAGAGAGCTGCAGGACAAAGAATTCCTTCTTTCACGAATAAATGCCTAGAAAACAAAGAAAAGAGCCTTAAAGAGACACAGCCACCCAGGGCCATGGGTCAGCTTTGTTTGGATTCTAAATAAATTAGAAAAAAACAACAACTTGCTACAAAGAAGAATGTATTGCTGGGCCTGAAAGCAGAATACTGATGTTAGGTGATAATAAAAGATTTATTCTTTCCTTTTGGTGTTGGTGGTGGTGATTGAGTCTAGGATTTTATACATACTAAGCACGGCTCTAACACTGAGTTATACCCATCCACAAATCATTCATTTTCAAGGTACAATAATCTTTGGATGGTTTTGATGATTGACAAATGAAGGGAGAGATTATTTGGAATTTGCTTTAAAGGGCAAGTAGGTTAGGAAAGAAGGACTAAGAAAAACAGGATTTAACCATATCTTGTGTTTGTGTGCATATGTGTGTGCGCATGCATGCGCGTGTATCAATACTAGGGCTTGAACTCAGGGCCTTATGCTCTGACTTTTTTTTTTGGTCAAGACTCGCATTCTACCACTTGAACCATACCTCTACCTCCATGTTTGACCATTATCTTGATAACTAGGAAAATGGCTGATCAGTACAGTATATTATAATCTTTTTAATGTGATACATGCTTGTGAGTATCTGTAATCAAAGCTTTTTTTCCAAAATGCTTCAGATGAAAAGGTAAAAAATTAAAAAAGAGGAACATAAATATATTGGATTGAGCTTTGGTGGAGGGGTGGGGGTGGGAAGGAGGTCACCAAACAGTTAACTGTCAGCCAGGAGTGGAAGTGCATACCTGGCATCCTAGCTAATGAGGGAGATGGGTTTCCAGACCGAGATTATGGTTTTGGATTGTGTTGTGAGATCCCTATCTGAACAGAAAAATCTGGGCATGGTAGTACATACCTGTAATCCCAACTACAAGGGAAGTGTGTAAATAGGAGGATTGATGACCAGGCGTGTACTGTTGACACCTACCTGACTGCAAACGCTCATAGTAGGAAATCAATGACAAAGTGCTTCACCCCCAAAACACCCAGCAAAGGGCCAGGTTAAATGAATTACGAAATCCATTTGCAGATCCCAAAGGCTGACACTTACTAGTCACGTCCTCCAAAATCAAGGCAAATGACGAAACTCTATCAAAGGAGCTCAGACATGGTGGCTAAGTGCAGGGAATCACACCCCCTAATCCCAGCTACTCAGGAGGTAGAGAGCAGGAAGATGGCACACTAGGCCTGGTGGTATACACCTGCCATCCCAGCTATACAAGAGTAGATTAGGAGGATTGCTGTCCAATGCTGGCCCTGAGCCTGTGAAGACAGGACAAGTTAGGCAACAAATAACTGAAATGGAAGAAGGACTTGAGGAGTGGCTCAAATGGCAGTGTCCTTGGCCCAACCAGGACACCAAGCTCAAATCTGAAGTACTACATTGCAAGCAAAGGAAAAAGTAGGATCCAAGGAAAGCATTCCAGCTGAGAATCCAGTGAGCCACCATGAATGAAACTCAGGACAGGAAAAGAACTTCCAATTTCTGATCAAACAAAAGTAAGACATTTTCCACCTTTCACAGTGTCACCATTGAACTTGGTAACTAGCAGAAATGCCTGGTCGTGTGTCAGGGTTCTAACTGGAAACCCTATGGCCCGGGCACCAGTGGCTCACGCCTGTAATCCTAGCTATTCCAGAGGCTGAGATCTGAGGATCAAAGTTTTAAGCCACCCCAGGTAGGAGAATCAGCGAGATCAGTGAGACTCTTTACCTCCAGTAAAGCACCAAAAAGCCAGAAGTGAAGTGGAGGTGTAGCTTAAGTGGCAGAGTGCTAGCTTTGAGTAAATAAAAAACAAACAAACAAAAAAACCTCAGAGACAATGCCCAGGCCCTGAGTTCAAGTCCCAGGACCAGCATCAAAACAAAACCAAAAAACCAGAAAAACAAAACAACACCAAAAAACCTACCATGGAAGCTAGAAGGATGTGACAGTTTCACCAGCCTGCTTGCTACATGGCCACATTACGCAGCCTTGGACATGAGTGGCTGTTGGGATCCCGTAACTGGTGACAGAGTGCCAAGAAGACAGAGGTGTGTTGGCCTGCAGCCCCGTCATACCTGATTATGACACACTGGTTCTCTCTGTCGATGATCATATTTCTGTACATACTGTCCGCCAGGGCGTAGATATGAGGTGGGTTTTCATACTGGGCCTAGAAAGGCAAAGAACCACAATTAGATGGAACCAACCCTGATTTGCTTTCTTGGCCTCTTCACTCAGTTCTGGTGGCTATTAATTCCACCCGACAGCTTGCATTCTAAGGAACTTCATTTAAAAACAAACCAAACAAACAAACACCAGGGCACCGGTGGCTCACACCTGATACCCTAGCTACTCAGGAGGCCGAGACCTGAGGATTGTCTTCAAAGCCTGCCCAGGTAGGAAAGTCCATGTGACTCTTATCTCCAATAAACTACTCAAACAAACCAGAAGTGGAGCTGTGGCTCAAGTGGTAGAGTGCTAACTTTGAATAAAAGAAGCTCAGAGACATGCTCAGGCCCAGAATTCAAGCCCCAGAACTGGCAAAGAAAACAAGTCTTAGCACACACAGCCGGGCATCGGTGGCTCATGCCTGCATTCCTAGCTATTCAGGAGGCTGAGAGCTAAGGATTGTGGCTTGAAGCCAACCTGAGCAGGAAAGTCTCTGAGATTTCTTCTTCTTCTTTCTTTCTTCTTCTTTCTTTCTTCTTCCTTTTTTCTTTCCCCCCCCCTCCTCCTCCTCCTCCTGCTCCTCCTGCTCCTGCTCCTCCTCCTCCTCCTCCTCCTCCTCTTCCTCTTCCTCCTCCTCCTTCTTCTTTCTTTGGTTAACTGTGGGGCGAACTCAGGGCCTGGATGCCGTCTCTAAGCTTTTTCACTCAAGGCTAATAATGGTCTACCACTTTGAGCCACAGTGCCACTTCCAGTTTTCTGGTGGTTATTTGAAGATAAGAGTTTCACGGACTTTCCTGCCCTGGCTGGTTTCCAACAGTGACCCGCAGCTCTCAGCCTCTTGCATTGCTACAGGCTTGAGCCACTGGTGCCCAGCCCATGAGATTTTTTAATTCCAATTAACAATTAACCAGTAAAAAATCAGAACTGGAGCTATGGCCCAAGTGGTAGAGTGCAAAAATAGCTCAGGACCCTGAGTTCAAGCCTCAGGACAGACACGAGAGTACACACACACACACACACACACACAGACACACACACACACACACACACACACACACGCCATCCTAGCTGAGGTCAAATGCCATCCTGAGAAAATTAGAATGGAATATGGACTTTTCCACAGATGGGCCATGATTCAGCCTTCAAACATGTCCATGGGGGGCTGGGAAGTTGGCTCAGTGGTAGAGCGCTTGCCTCTGCAACCATGTCCTACTTCTAAATCCTTCTGGAGACACGTAGGTGGCAGGGCTGAAGGGAGACCTCCTCCCAAAGCCTGAGGTCTGAGAGTGATGACAGTTTCTCAGTTCCTCCTCACTGTTTCTCTAAGAGGCAAGTTACTTGCAGGAAGATTTGTCACAAAACTGAGTGGCATTATCAACGGATGAGGATAAAAAGTTAAACTTTTCCCTCAGAGGGTGGAGGCAGGGGTTCTAGAAAGACATAAACGGGTCCTGCAGGTTGGTGTCATCCATATGGGAACCGGAATCATGCTACACCTATTCTGTTGGGTGTGTGACTGAATCTTGTGACATGGCTGAAATGGAAACATCTCCATACCTAATAATTTTCCTGCCTCAACCAGATCGACATCCTGCTTCATTCAATTCCTTGCTATCCCCCACCTTTGCTTCTACCTTAAAATTTACCATAAGTCCTAACTACTCAGGAGGCTGAGATCTGACGATTGTGGTTCAAAGCTAGCCCAGGCCAGGAAAGTCCATGAGATTCTTATCTGCAATTAACCAGCAAAAAAGCCAGAAGTGGAGCTGTGGCTCAGGTGGTAGAGCACTAGCCTTGAGTACAAAAGCTCAGGGACAGTGCCCAGGCCCCTGAGTTCAAGCCCCAGGATGGGCACACACACAAAAAATCATTCATGGGCAATGCAACTATATCATTAATTACAAGGAAGAAAAATATTCTGCATTGTATAAACTCTAGACTTAGTAATAATGGACGTTGCTCATTACTTACCGCTCCTTGGTACATTTCAATCTCCTTCTCTCCGAAGTATGGCATCTGCTTAAAAGGGTTGACTGAGATTAGCACAGACCCTATGTAGGTCTGGATTTAAGCTCGTTAAGGACCATCATTAATATTCCTAGTAATCCATTGTCCCCTGCAGTGACAGGATGTTATCAAGAATTCACAGTCAGCTAGGAGCAGGTGGCTCACACTGTAATCCTAGCTACTCAGGAAGCTGACAGGTGAGGATAACAGTTCAAAGCTAGCCTGGGCAGAGAAGTCCCCATGAAATTCTTATCTCCAATTAACCACTCAAAACCAGAAGGAGCAATGGGATTCAAAGTGGTAGAGTGCTAACCTTGAGCAAAAGAGCTCAAGGACAGTGTGCAGGCCCTGAGTTCAAGTCCCATGAGCAATTAAAAAAGAAGAAGAAAAAAAATGTAAAAAGAGTTCACACAGATTGCTCAGCATAGATGGAAAGTTCCTGTTTGTAGTTTTCAAATGAATCCAAAGACAAAAGCAATTACCTAATGAGCCCAGCTGCTACTTCCTTCCAGAAACAATAATGAATTGAATTACCAAGGTTGTACTGGAAAGAAATCATTATTCCAAATAAACCAAACCAAAGCATATTCTTTCTAGAACTGGGGCTGAGTCCGGTTAAGAAAAAAGCAAAACAGAACAGAAAAGCCATGGAATGGCAAGACTGGGGTTGCTTCTGTTCTCAAATGATAAATGTTTTTCTTTGCATGATTTTCTATTTCTAAAACTACTGCACTAAACTATAAGTTATTTAGACTACTCATTATACGTTGTTAAGTGTGTGCATGTGTGCCTTGAACTCAGGGCATGGATGCTATCCCTGAGCTTTTGTGTTCAAGGCTAGTGCTCTACCACTTGAGCCACAGCTTCACTTGCAGCTTTTTGGTGGTTCATTGAAGATAAGAGTCTTACAGACTTTCCTGCCTGGGCTGGCTTTGAACCAGGATCCTCAGATCTCAGCCTGAAGAGTAGCTAGGATGACAGGCGTGAGCCTCTGACATCAAGCAGCATTTGGCATTTTTTATTGTTGTTGTTTTGTTTTTCTCTGGGGAAGTTTTTGAATCTTTAAGTAGTTGTACAAAGGGGTTGCCACTAAGCAGGGAGTTTATGTTGCATTTTAAAAGCCATATGAATATGTCATCTGAAGAAAGGCTGACATTGAAATGGAAAGAAAAACTCCAGAATATCAGGCGTTTTCCATAGTTGAGCCTCATTTCTTTATTTTGTCTTTCTTTCTTTCTTTTTTCTTTTTGATTGGTCATGGGGCTTGAACTCTGGACCTGGGCACTGTCCCTGAGCTGTTCAGCTCAAGGCAAGCACTCTACCACTTGAGCCACAGCACCACTTCCAGCTTTCTGGTGGTTAACTGGAGATAAGCATCTCATGGACTTTCCTGTCCTGGCTGGCTTTGAACCACAATCCTCAGATCTCAGCCTCCTGAGTAGCTAGGATGACAGGTGTGAGCCACTGGCACCCGGCTTGACCTTCATTTCGTAATGCCTCCTTTAGGAAAGCTGCAGGGAAAAAATGGCTAAATTGCTTTTACAATGTGCATGAGGCAATTGTGTGTGTGTGTGTGTGTGTGTGTGTGTGTGCGCTGGAGCTTAAACTCAGGGCTGAGGCACTATCCTTGCGCTTTTGTGCTCAAGGCTAGTGCTCTACCACTTTGATCCACCACTCCACTTCCAGTTTTCTGGTGGCTCCAAGGCCATCTTACTTAAACCTGTTCAAATCTTGACTGGGAAATCTGTGCTGTGCAATCAACGAAATTCTGGAAGGCAGGCCTGCAGAGATTTTAAGCGCTACACACACGGGCCATGTCACATCAAGGAAACAATGAGAGGGAATGAAAAGCTCTCTGCCAATGACCTTGAGAAATGTCTTGAGCCTGGACCATGTGACCAAACAAAAGTGCAGAAGCTGAGCCAGGCCCAGCTGGCTTACACCTGTCATCCTGGCTACTCAGGAGGATGAGATCTAGAGGGTCTAGGCAGTCTTTGAGATTCAATCTCCAATTAACCAGTAAAAAAAAAAAAAGCTGTATTGGAGGTGTGGCTGGAGTGGTAGAGCATCAACCATAAGCAAAACAGAGCATAGCAGAATCCAAGTTCAAATTCCAGGCCCAGAGATACACATTAAAATTAAATATTACTAAATCTTCCTGTCCCAGGATGTGCAAAAGGATACGAAGATGTAATCGTCCATGTATCTCTTCTTCAGGTTCTCCACGATGGAGCTCTCAGTGATCTTTGACAGGAGGACCATGTCGTCCACACCGCTGTGTTTGACATTGTGACTCTGCCAATGGTACCGGAAGGCACCTTTGCTTCCCTACGGACCAAACCACACAACAGCAGTGAGACACTCACATGGTGATTTCACCATCGTAGACCTGGATTCAAGTTTCCAGCCTTACTGAATCATTGAAGCTTCTCTTTGGCTCATTTGTATGAGAGAGAGAGAGACAGAGAGACAGAGAGAGAGAGAGGGAGAGAGAGAGAGAGAAAATTCCACTTCATAGTCAGCATAAGAATGACCTAACACACCATACAGGCTGGACATGGTAGATCCTTCTTGTATTCCTACATGGGAGGCTGAGATTCGGAGAATCCTGACTTGAGGCCAGCCAGGGCAAAAAGATAGCAAGACCACCATCTCAATATAAAAACTCTGCTCCTGTCACCCTAGCAAGGTGGGAGATATAAATAGGATCGTGGTCCAGGCTGGTCTGAGACCAAAAAAAAAAAAAAAAGAGACCTTACCTGAAAAATAAAGCCCAAAAAAGGTTAAGGGTGTGACTCAGGTGGTAGAGCACCTGTCACCAGACCCTAAGTTCAAGCCCTACTGCTGCTAAACATAAAGGTCAACAACTAAAACAACTGCAGCCCAAACCAGTCTCTGATCTGTTCCATCAAATTTGACTATGGAATGATCATGAGGTCAGCACTGCTGACTTCACCTGAAACATCTTCCCTCCCTAAAGTCACCATTGTTACTCTATCCAAAGCCTTCAGGATGCTTGTAATCTTAGCCATTCGGAGGCTGAGATACGAGGATCACAGTTTAAAGCCAGCCTAGCAGACAAATCCATGAGTCTTACCTACAGTTAACTAACAAAAAGCCAGAAGCAGAGGTGTGCACACCAACTTTTTTTTTTTTTCCCTTGGGTCCGGTCATGGGGTCTGAACTCTGGGCCTGGGTGCTGTCCCTCAGCTCTTCAGCTCAAGGCTAGCGCTCTACCACCTGAGCCACAGCGCCACTTCTGGCTTTTTTGTTTTTGCTTATGTGGTGCTGAGGAATCGAACCCAGGGCCTCATACATGCAAGGCAAGCACTCTACCACTGAGCCACCTTCCCAGCTCATGCACACCAACTTTTAAGCAGAAAAAGTTGTGTGCAAGGCCCTGAGTTCAAGACCCAGTACCAGCATAAAAGGTTATTGTTTAGTTTTGTTTTAATTTCTCGGAGAAAGAGACTGTCATTTTGTGACGCACAAATTCTAAGAGGATCCAGGGAAAGCAGCCCTTCAAAATGCAGGAAGCCATCCCAGAAAAAGTGTGCCATGCCACTAGGCCTAAACTTGGAAAGAGATTCTAGAAGATTCCACCATCTCGCAGTCCTGTAGAGGGAAACCTTCTGTGTGATATATCTGGCTTTCCCAGAACCACCCACAGCTTCAATTCTGCAAAGTGACCACAGATTTCCTGATCCTCCCCTCTCCCCCCTCCCCTTTTCCCTCCTCCTCCACCAGCCAAGTTCAGAGGAACAGCTCTCGCCACAGCCTGGGCCACCAGCTTTCATAAGCACTCATGGTCCTCTCCCAACACAAGTCCTAGAGGCTCATCTCCTACCCTCCCTTCCTGCTTTCCGCCACCCACAAAGTTAAATCAACAAGGAAAGCCAAAAGTCCTAGAGAACCAATCCGGAATTGCTTGGTTCACTTTTTTTTGGTGGTGGTAGTGGTGCCAGTCCTAGGATTTGAACTCAGGACCTGGGGCACAGTCCCTGAGCTTTTTCATGCATGGCTAGTACTCAACCACTTGAGCCAATGCATCACTTGTGGCTTTTGGGTGATTTGTTGGAGGAGATAAAGAGTTTCAGACTTTGATGCCTGGCCTGACTTGGAACCGTGATACTCGGATAGTCTCAGGTCTCAGCTTCCTGAGGAGCTAAAATTACAGGCGTGAGCCACCAGCACCCATCTTGGTTGGCTTTGAACCCCAATATTGCTACACAGAAATGATCTCTGAAAGTAGCCCAAGCCTGCTGGGCACCAAGCCAACCTTTCTCCATGCACTTACACAGGTGATCCTGGTGAATTTCTCCCTTCTACCATTGGAGTTTGTTGGGTTTTAATTTCACATTTGTTTTTTGGCAGTATTGAGGCTTGAACTCAAGCCTTCATGCTTGCTAGGCAGGTGCTCTACTGCTGAACCACGCCTCCCAAGTCCTTTCTTCTACTGGTTCAGTGTGTGTGTGTGTGTGTGTGTGTGTGTGCGCGCGCGCGTGCGCCCTCCATTACGGGGCTTGAACTCGGGGCCTGGGTACTGTCCTTTAGCTTTTTTATTTTCCCCAATCAAGGCTTGCACTCTACCAGCACCACTTCTGGCTTTTTGCTTTCCCCATCCATGTCACCTCAACAGAAAGGCTCCCCCTCCCTATTTGAGGAAACCCCTTTCCATTCCCTTCCCCTCTTCAGCCAAATCAGGAGGACACTGGGCAAGCCAGAGGGCCCAGTGCTGTAGCCAGCTGTGTGCCAAGACCCAAGAATGGCAATGCCAATACCAAATGCCACTTGTCACCCTGGTGATGGCTGGCAGTGATGACAAGAGAAATTTCCCATGTGCTAAGAGTTCTGCACAGACTTTCTTTGGACCTACATGTAGTTTCTAAGGATGAATCAGCTCAGGAAAAAAAAAAAGGATTTGATTCATATGAAAAGTTCTAGAAAGGAGGCACACCCACACCCACACAATGGCTTGGACTGTTGCTCACACATAGGAAGTACCACCAGACTGCTAAAGTCCCTCTCACATGCAGGAAGAGCCAGCATGGGCCAGGGGTCTCACTGGTGACCCTTAAGAAATGGAGGTTCTTGCCACAGGCCAGCGGCTCACACCTTGTCATCCTAGCTACTCAGGAGACTGAGATCTGAGGATCGTGGTTCAAAGCCAGCCCAGGCAGGAAAATCCGTGAGACTCTTTATCTCCAATAAACCACCAGAAAACCCGAAGTGGTGTTGTGGCTCAAGTGGTAGAGCGCTAGCCTTGAACTGAAGAGCTGAGGGACAGCGCCCAGGCCCAGAATTCAGGCCCCACAATGGACATAAAAAAATAAATTAAAAAAAAAAAAACTAGTCTGGAAAGAAAAGTCCATGAGACTCTTATCTCCAATGAACCAGTTAAAAAAAACCTGGAAGTGGAGCTGTGGCTCAAGGGGTAGAGCACTAGCCTTGAGTAAAAAAGCCAAGTAAAAGAGTGTGGGGCCTTGAATTCCAGCCCAGTGCTTGTTTTTATTTTCTCTGCCTGAAATGTCAACAGTACAAGATGATTTCCTAGATCAATGAGCAGTTCAAAGCCAAGATGTCATAAATTGCTTTTGGTTTTTTTTTTTTTTGCCAGTCCTGGGGCTTGAACTCAGGGCCTGGGCACTGTCCCTGGGCTTCTTGCTTCTTGCTCAAGGCTAGCACTCTATCACTTGAGCCACAGCACCATTTCTGGCTTTTTTCTGTTTATGGTACCGAGGAATCAAACCCAGGGCTTCATGCACGCAAGGCAAGCACTCTACCACTAAGCCACATTCCCAGCCCTAAGATGTCATAAAGAGTTAATACAGTCCATCAATTCTAAGATGCAGTTTCTCACTTGGATGCTGTGTTTTGGGTCTACCATAGTCAGTGGTTTGTCGTTGGCTTAGCTGATGGCTATTTTGAATCAATATATAATGATGGCCCTCTTCCAGCCAAGAGCATCTTGGGTGCAATAGGGTAGATGATACCCAACCAACTTATGACCAGATGCTGCCATGAACACGTTACAAACCCCAACCACTGTTCAATATCACCATAAATATAAGGCATTTTGTGCTACTGATCCCAACCCAGGCGGGTGAAGGGGAAGAGATGCCCCTGCCCCCCTAAAGATTGGGGATAGCGGTGGGTATCACCCTCTCATCCAGCTAAAGAGGAGACAGACAAACTTGATTACATCATGAGCATGTTTCAAGCCACATTTGATCCCCATCAAAATGGCTGAAATCCATTTTTAGGACAAATACACCCCATTTATTTCCACCGCCAAGCTCCTGATGGAGCAGTCACACCCATGTTGATGACTTTTCTCATCTGGGGCCCTGCCAGCCTTAACAAGTGAGTCGAGAACCGAACAATCGTCCGATTCACCACTGTTTGCCTCACAGTGGATTTTGGAATCGACAGATGTGGGTATAAACCTCGCTGCCAGTGTTCGTGGAATTCTCTTCTTTACCCTGAAGACAACCTAACGCACATGTAAATGTGATTTTGGTTTTTGCACCTCTAAGGAACAGGGCTCATTAACAAAGTCAGGAGCCCAAACTTTATCACACTATGTGCCCTAATGTTTTTGGGTTTTTTTTTGTTTTTCTGAATGGGGCTTCCATTCTTACTCCTTCCCTCGCAAATCTATAGCAGAGGTCAGCAGTCCCCTTACCCAATGGGTTGGACTTCAAAATGGTCGGCAGGAACACCAGTTATTTGCACAAATATCTGCATGGTTTCTGGTTGCAAACATGCTTTTGGATTTGTGCTTTTACACTCGCCAAGAGCACAAATGCCTCTTTTTTTTTTTTTCTTTTCTTTTTAATGGAAGTCCCAAAATAGGAAGAGAAGCAGAAGCAAGCATCCCAGCATTCACCAGGGTCAGTGTGTGACTCCCCTCTGGGGATTTAAGCCAACAGCACGGTATTACTTACTAATTAAGTAAGCCACTCCCCAGAAATACCTGCCAGTGACTACATATTCATTCAAGTTTATTGGAATTAAAGAGCCAAGGTTTGTACATTTGTTTGATGAAGATCACCCTTTAAATGTAGCAAATAAGCTCATTTCGCTGTTTTTTTGGTTTGTTTTTCTTTTTCTTTTTGTCGGTTGTGGGGCTTGAACCCTGGGCCTGGGCGCTGTCCCTCAGCTCTTCAGCTCAAGGCGAGCACTGTACCACTTGAGTTACAGCACCACTCCTGGTTTTCTGATGGTTTACTGGAGATGAGTCTCACGGTCTTTCTTGCCCAGGCTGGCTTTGAACCGCAATCCTCAGATCTCAGCCTCCTGAGTAGCTAGGATTACAGGTGTGAGCC